TTATGCAGGACTTGCAGAAGTTTTTCCCCAGAGTCCTCGTCATGTGCATAGAGATGTAATCCTTGATAGTATACATACAGTTTGCCCTATGGCAACCATTTGTATTTTTGGTTTAGTTCCTGCAGTTGCTTAGTAGTGGTTTTCAGCTTCCTCCGTATTAGTAGGGCTTCTCTCGGCACATCAGGGAAAATGGCGATGCGTTCTCCGTTGTATATGAAGGTGTCAGCATTCTGTGCCTCAGATAGGATTCTTTTTCTCACTCTCATATCTGGTATAGTCACTATAATGTCTCTGGGTATGGTTTTTTAAAAAAAATTTTAGAACCCAGTCTGGCTGCTTTAGTAATAATTGGATATACACCCTCTTCAAGCTTTAGGGCCTGGGCAATAAAAGAGATTAAATCTGCTGTCCCTTCCGCCTCCTCCGGAAAACCACGAAGTTTTAAGTTAATCATTTTTTGTTCAGTTTCTACTGCAATCAAACGATCATTTACATCTGTCACATGCTCACATATAAGTTTTATATTTGCCTGATTTTCCAAGCTGTTCTCCAATGCTGATTCCACTTTTTCCACTGCCTGAGCAACTGAGAGCTTGATGTCTTCTACGTGCGATGTAAGTGTGGAAATACGATCCATCAGACTTGCCTCCATAGTTTTTAAGTAGGCTAAAATCGCCGGGTCTGAAGACTGCTGCGGCATGTTCTCCGTTGATTTTTCAGTTGCCGCCATTTTGGGCTCCTTCTGGCCTTGCAAGGCCTCTGTTCGTTTCAGCTCCAAAATGATCTTTAATGGTGTGGGAAGTGCCGGAGACCACTTTATTCTTAGTCGGATCAGTTTTCCCCATATCAGGCAGAGCCTTTCTTAAAAGCTTGGGTCGGTAGGACGTTTTTTAAGTGTGGGAGAGTACTTCGGGCTCAGGAGCTGTACAATTATGCGACCACCATCTTCGACAGCTCCGCCACGCCCCTCTGATCTTTCATCCTTAAAGAGCTATTTCCAGGCCAAAAACTGTACAGTGAACTGCTAAAGAATAAGGATACACCTGTACAGAGAAAAGATGGGACCACAAATCATACGCTATGCAGGCCAAAGATCTCTGGTTTAGTCCCCGGCATCCATAGTTAAAAGGTATTAAAATTTAACAGGAATGGTAAAGTCCCCCACCTCAGACCTTTCAATTGTAATAGATGGCACTGGCCTAAGCAGAGCAACAGTATGACTTGGTATGAAGGCAGCTTTAGAAGTACCGTGTTACACCACAGAGGCTTCTCCAGTTCTGAGCTGTCTTGAGCCAGCAACATGTCAAGGCATCCTTCAGTAGGCCAGATGGGCATTTACTTCAAGCTTGTCCAGTCACCCCTGGCAAAAGACCAGTTTTCCATGCATGGCAGATCAAAGTTTACAAAGAGCAGTGTCCAACAGCACTGACACACAACATCCAGAACTGCTGTTTATACTGGAGTCATAATTATTAACTTCCATGCCGCTCCAATTTGAATCCCTGTCTTCCAAATTCTCAATGTAATTCAATTACCCATAGGAACTACAAGAACAATTCATTCTCCTCAAGACATTGGTGGAAGACTGCAAGAGTGAGAAAAGGGCAACACAACCAACTAGTGCCTAAGCAACCAACTTCCGCAAAATACCATTGTTTCCAATTATCAAAGTTTCTGTGTGACCCAAGACAGGCAGAACTGGCCCAGAGAAACTATCACCCTAACCTCGAATAATCTCTCCCCAAAAAATTCCAAAAAGATTTTTCTCATTACATTAAGGAGTCTCTGGTTGGAGCCTAAACCTACGCATAAAACAGTGATGTTGATGAAAAGGGGAAGAAAGGGGTCAAGATTACAGGGTATGGGACACACGTATAATGGTACCAAAGCTTATTTTCTAGTGTGGCGACTGCTTTGTCACTGTGAGTCCTACATGCAAATCAGACCCACAGCCTTGAATTCTGCCAACTTTTTATTGCTGTTGACTGAAGATAACAGGCGTTGCTACTTAAAGCAATGCAAACTATTCTGTAGCTTACCATGCACTCTTCAAGGAATCACATGATATAATTACGGCACAGACAACTTAGCACAAATTACAGGCAAACCCCAAGATATCAGAAGAAGGCCCAATCTGCCATTCAGATTGCTTTCAGCTTTTCTGGGGGGAGGGGGGGGGAAGAGGAGTGTGTTCCACTTGGTCTTTTACACAGCCTCCATGTGTATCTGCTATGCTAAGGATGCCATAGTGGCCTCATGAACATGTCCTGTATGGTATTTCACTATGGTTAATATTGTGAAGTTTGTTTACAATAGGCAAATCTTGACTTTTATCTACAAATTACAGTTGTTAGAGATACACTAGACATATTGCTATAAGCAATAATCTTGGCTTGCAAGGGAAAGCAAAAAGCAGTTGGAAAAAGGATGCCATAAGAAATTCACCTGCGGGACTCCGTTCTGAAAATTGCATACGCTGCAACACACAGAAAATGTGCAGGACTCTGGTTACAGCTTTGTCAGTTAACACATGCTCATTTTGGCATGACCACACTTGACTTGACACGTATAATGGGTACTTTGCTCATTCAATGTCCAGTCTCTTATACCCTAAGGCCATTGATTGGCGTTTAAAAAGAAACATAGCGTTGAACGCGGCTGCTGAACATAATGTATGGATGCTCTAAATTACTCATGCTGTACTTACTTTAAAAATAATTATATTTCTTTTACCTTATTTATAGTTCGCCTTTCTAACTTGGACTCAAGGTGGATTATAGTGAGTCAATACAATTGACAGATGGGATATTCAATAAATAATGCAATAGGATTAGGGTAGTAGATTCTGTGATTCTATGACAGACTGGGTAATAATTGGCCACATCATTTTTCTGTAGGGATCATTTTTTAGGTAGCAGATGGATAACTGCATCTTTGAGTGGCTGAGGGAAGGTGCTCTGAGTTAGTGACTGATTTACAATATATGCCAAGGGTCTGTTGATGTGGTCCTTACATGATTTTAGCAGTCAGGATGGGCAAGGATCCAGAGTGCAAGTAGTGGCCTTAATCAACCCCAGGATCTTGTCAACATTCACCATGGAAACTGTGGCAAAATGATCCATGAACAGACCAGATGGTATATTAGTCCTGCCTACTAGTGTGCCTATGTTACAACTGCCATCCAGGTCAGAGTAAGGAACTACCTTGAACAATCAGGATGAATGTGAGCTAGCTGACACTACAGAAGCAACATTTCTTTGCCACCATCACTGCCTCTTCATAGGTCTTTCAATGGGCTTTATAGTGTAATCTATCAGATTGGGTACAGGTTTGCTGCCAGCATCATTCTAGACGTCTCCCAGCCCTCTTCAGGTCACCCAGATGCACAGTAAAGCAGAGGGCTGGTTTATGCCCTAGGGGTGGAAGTGGTCATAGAAGGGGAACCTTGTCGATAGCTTCCAGGAGCTTCATGTTCCACACTCCCACTGAAGCCTCAGCTGGGAATGTGTCTGGTAACTCCCCTAGAGAGTTCTGGAATCCAGTAGGATTCCTGAGCCTTCATGGGTAGACCATTTTAACCAGACCCCCTCTCATGCAGGGTGTTGGAGCCACATTTACCTTGGCTTTAAATATATGTACAGCCAACTCTTTAGAGCTATTATTATTACATTGTTTGCTGCCTGCCCCATCCCTCAACTCTCATTCCTCCAGATATCTTTCATTATTGACCAAGATCTGCACAATGCCACTCCTTAAGCAGTCCCGGAGGTGGCCCCTTGAATGTGGGGTACCTCAGGGGGCAGTGCTATCCCCGATGTTGTTTAACATCTACATGCGCCCCCTTGCCCAGATTGCCCGGAGTTGTGGGCTGGGGTGTCATCAATACGCTGATGACACCAAGCTGTATCTGATGTTGGGCGGCCGGTCGGATTCCACTCCCGATGACCTTAGTCGGGCGTTACAGGCTGTGGCTGGGTGGCTCAGACTGAGTCGGCTGAAATTAAACCCGGCAAAGACGGAGGTCCTGGGGCTGAGTCAGATCGGTCCGGGGTTGGGACTCCCTCTCCCGACCTTCGACAGGGCGCCTTTGGTGCCGGCGTCGGAGGTTAGGAGTTTGGGGGTGCTCCTGGACTCCTCATTAACGATGGAGGCCCAGGTAGCAGCCACTGCCAAGTCGGCATTCTACCATCTTCGGCTGGCACGGCAGTTGGTTCCCTTCCTCGACCGGGAGGACCTAGCCACTGTGATCCATGCGACGGTCACCTCGAGGCTAGACTACTGTAACGCTCTCTACATGGGGCTGCCTTTGTTGCAAATTCGGAAGCTGCAACTAGTGCAGAATGCTGCAGCCAGGCTGTTGATGGATCTTCCTAGACGAGATCACATCCAGCCTGTGCTGAAAGCGCTGCACTGGTTGCCTATAGCGTACCGGGTTCACTTCAAAGTGCTGGTTATTACCTTTAAAGCCCTATATGGCCAGGGACCAGTCTGGTCCCCGGGTCATCAAACTCGTTGTGACCAGGAATAGGGTGTTTTCAGTGGCGGCTCCTATCTGGTGGAATGAGCTCCCAGAGGAGATCAGGGCTCTGCGGGACCTAGCACAGTTCCGCAGAGCCTGCAGGATGGACCTCTTCCGCCAGGCGTTCGAATAGGAGCCGCCACCGCCATGGTACCACCACTGCCATGGTACCACCAACGCCCCTGGATTTGGGTACTGGGTCATCTTGATGTGGGCACTTAGATGAGACTTTTCAGGAGACAGCCATCTTGTTTTTAGGAGAGGAGCACCAAATATTTTTTCTATGAATGTAACTGGTCTTAATATTTTAATGTTTTTACTGTTTTACTGTATGATTCGGCGATATGCCGTGTAAGCCGCCCTGAGCCTACGGGGAGGGCGGGATAAAAATATAAATAATAAATAAATTAATTAATTAAGAGATTCTCGATTCAATGAGCAAGAAATAAGAAACTCACCCAGTAGTACATGTGACTCTTACCTCTTTGCTGTTCCACTGGAAGTCAAGATGAGTTGTTCTTCCAGCAATGTGATTGTCAAGTTGAGGATAGATTCTCACCCTGGTCTGGTTCAGCCTTACTCCCAAAACTCCCACTTAGCATAAGTTCCAACCGCAGGCAATGGGACCTGGGTGCCTATTCACTGCCAACAAAGAAAAATGGAACTGTTTATTCAGAGAGACCAAGAAACATGGATAGCTTTTGGAAAAGGGCAGAAAGATGCTTTCATCACATTAAGTTTAATTTCATACCCTCTTCTCACATGAACATTCTTGGCCTGACAAATACAATATCCAAGATCCGATGGGTCATTCACCCGGCACAGCAAAGATGCAAAAGCAGTCCTTGCAGCTTGGATTTGCTGACGTGCATGCAAGTGTGGACTGCAGTCTAAAACATCAAAGAAAAAGCAGCAAGATCTCAGCTCATCTCCTCCTCGGTCTCCCTCAAAACAAGGCCAGCATTACTTGAGCAGAGTTCAGGGAATGGCAAGCAAGCGGCTTATTTCACTTAAAAACTGATACTGAGATATCCAGGAAATGTCAAGCATAAGTTTGATCCATTTCCCGTGACAATTCAAAGGCGTTTAGAATAAGACACAGAAGACTTCTCTTGTTACTTGTTGTCTCCATCCATGAACTGTCTACAATATAAATAAAGTGCTTGATGGCACACAGAACTTTAGTTCACCTGCTTCTGCTGAAGTAATTTTCAGAAAACCAACTGGAAGCACAATAGCTGGAAAAAATACAACTGGCTTCCAAAACATCAGTCTAAATCTGGCTTTTAAAAGAAGTTAATCCACAAGACTTCAAAAGATCAATTTTTAATTTATTTGGGAGAACCTGCTGGGCCAACTTTCTGAACAAAGACATTCTAAACTAGCAGTGAAACTGCCAAAGAACCTGGCTGAATGCCCAGAAAAAGAACCCGAGGCAAACAAGAGTGCAGCTTAAACTTAATTTTCCAAAATGCAACAAAACAAATTGCACTACACCTCCAGAAAAGTGTTTAACGCCACACAATCAGCACCCCGTTTTGAAAGGCAGCCCTGCATAGAGCTGAGAAATACCTTTCAGGTGTTCTACCAATCAACATTACATTGTTCAGAACCCAGGGATGTTATACTTTGAGCATTCATCCACCTCTGCCCAGCAGTTTATCGACCACAGAAAAAAAAGAGGTGGAAAAATATTTCAGGCTATACAAGTTGTCCCCATAAACACCAGCAGGAACTTGGGAAACTTGGCACCTGGGATTTTTTCCAGATCTGCCTTTTAAAAATTGTCATACAAAAAATTGTCACTACACTTTTTAAAAAATGTAATATGAAGTTACAAAGACCACAGTCACCCCTGTAGTGGCATGTTAACAGTCCTAGTTGTGACACAGAAATGCACTCACCCCATCCCTCCAATCTATCCTGTTGGATCGCCATCTGCCCCCACGCACTTTCCCCCTTTCCACTTCACCCCAGTCTCCCCTTATTTATCCCACCCAGCTCCGGTCTCAAAGCGTACTCTGCACAAAGCAGGACCATTTTATCCATCCCAACCACATTCTCCTCTCCCACAAACTTCCCTTCAGCGAAGCCACGCAGACCTGCTCCCATCTTCCTTCCCCCTCTCCATCATGAAGGGCCAGCAACAGCTCTACCCCACTCCACATTCAGCCTCCCCCTCGCTCTCTCCTGCCCTTTCCAGACCGCCACTCGCCCCAACCACACTCCCCCCTCACTAGTCTCCCCCCCCACTTCTCTTTTCCCATCCCGTCTTCCACCCACCGTCCTTCTCACGAGCCATTTCGCTCCAGATGCTTCTTTAACCTTGACCCCACCAGCTCCATCCATCCCATTAGCAGGTGGCAATTCCTCCCCCCCCCCCGAGCACTTTCTCCCATTTTTATTAACTTTCTCCCCACATTCATACGAGCCTCTCGTCTTTCCCCTCCCTTCTCCCACCCTCGAGCCCCTGCATCGCCCCCTTTCATCCCCTCGTTCTCCTCACCCCACCAATACCCCTCATAAGAACCCCGCGGGCCACGGCGGAGAAAAGGAGACCACCCTGCTTCGGCCGTCCAAGTATAAGTGGGGAAACTCACTTCTTGCCACGCTCCCCCGCAGCAGCAAGCAGTCCAGAAACGCGTCTCCTCCCGAGCGTCCCTCCCGACCTCCTCAAACGTGTATCCTTTCAGCCGCGGAGCTTCCTCGCCCGCTCATTAGGCAACGCAGCCGTCACGTGTCCAAAACCTCCCGCCTCCCTCCCTCCGGGTCGAATTTCTATTGATTAGGACATGCTTCATTTTCTTCCCTTGCCCTCCCCTCCAGCTGTCAATCTCTATAGTCCCGCCCTTCTCAGGGGACAAGGCTCCCTTAGTGACGCAGAGAAAGCGACCGCGCTTCTGGAATAAATTAGGGCTTTTTGGCGATCCGTAGCTAACCGAGAGAGTCACGCGCTTCAGTCACCGGCCCCTCTCACTTCCTAGTTTGGAAGAGGTTACTTTGTGAGAACGCTAGAAAGAACGCCGGCTGGCTTTGTGACACTGTCGTGAAACGAAAAACGGCCATCGTATTTTTCGGCCCCGCCTGCTGCTTCTGTTCTCTGGGCGGCGAGCGGCTGGGGGAGTGAGGAGAGAATGTTCGGGGGCTCCGAGGAAGATGACGCGGACTTCCTGTCTCCGACAGGCGGGTGAGGCACCAACGGGGCGGGGGAGGAAAAGTAACACCCGGAAGGGGAAGAGTGGGAAGTGAGCCGCTTCCGTTCACCAGCACTGCCCCAGAACCTATTTTCAGACGGGCTGGCTTTTCTTTCTTTGAGCGTGCACGGGTCCGATTAAGGGTGCCCCTGGGCACGCGCAAAGTGTCCGTTTCTCCCCAAACTGTGGAGTGACCTCAACTTTCCTTTTCTGTGGAATAAAGCAGCTGTCCTGGTGCGGGAACTGGGTTGACCACCCTTGATAGTTTTTCAGCTTCTGAATGTGCTTAGGCACGTGCAAAGTGTCTTCTTCACTCAACTAACTATGGGGCTTCATATACACTCTTATTTTAATGCTCATATAGTCTTAGTTGGCCAGTATTGTCTTCACACTATTATCAAGTATTAAGAGAGATTCAGGATGGCTTGATGATTGATTTTATAGGTGGGGGCTAAGAGAGAGTGGCTTGCCTATGGTCACCTGGTGAGAGTAATAACAATACTTATTCTTTGTGTAGTACTTTCAGTGTTAAAAGCACTTCACACATATCATTTTGAACCTTACAGTGACCCTATAAACAGTGTTCTCTCTCAGCTGAGTTAGTGTGAGCTGGTTCACAGTTTTTTAACATAAGAACATAAGAGATGCCAATGTTGGATCAGGCCAAAGGCCCATCCAGTCCAACACTCTGTATCCCACAGTGGCCAGAAATACCAGTGCCATCAGGAGGTCCACCAGTGGGGCCAGGACATTAGAAGCCCTCCCACTGTTGACCCCCCCCAAGCACCAAGATGACAGAGCATCACTTGCCCCAGAGTCCCTATCTATACCTTGTGGCTAATAGCCACTGATGGACCTCTGCTTTAACCTCTGGCTTGCACTTTTTTGTCTTAGCTCAGGAAGGATGGCTTCAGAGCAAACTTAATTTATGTGGTAGCCAAATCACTTGCTCACAACTCTAATGCCAGTAGCTCATAAAGTAGAATTTTTGCTCTCAAAACTCCAAAGCTTAGAGGGAGCATTGCCTGTAAGGTAGGCTAGTGTTACCCCCCTATATTCTCAGGTTTGTGGGACTGTAAAAGAGTGGCTTTCTTAAAACATGCCTGATATGCTTATGGCAGAAGTGAGATTTGAATTGAGAACATTCTGGTTCATAATTAATTTTCTTAGGGCTCCCACCAATCTCTTATCATATAGAAGAAAGGGCTTCACAGGGTATAATTGCCTTGGTGGGCTTTCCACTCTATGAGTTTGTGAAGTATGCCTCAGAGCATGTGTAGGGTGTCTTTGTCTTTCAAACACTGAGTGTTATTGGTGGTGTTTAGCTTTTATATTGAACTTTCAGTGTTCAAAACCCATTGTCTTCTAGTAAGCTTTAATATATCCTTACAAGGTAGGTCAGGATGGTTCGTCTTATCCCCTGCTCTTGGTTTTCTGTTTGTACATCATTTGAAGCCAAAAAGTTCTCTTCTGTCTTTGCATTCCCGGAGGTTGTTCCTGTGTTAGAAGATTTAGACAAATGGAGTAGGGGCTTTCTGTAAAACATGGAGAAATAGAAACTGTGATGGTGGTTTGTGACAGAGGGGGCTTTGCCTCTGAAAAGCTCATGTCCTCAAAATCTGGTCTCTAAAGTGCTACTGAACTGGAATCTAAGTGCAGTGATAGTTTGTTTATTTTATTTATTTATTTTATTTATTAAATTTATATACCGCCCTCCCCAATAGGCTCAGGGTGGTGTACAACAGTTAAATATACAATGTAAAACAATATTAAAATAACAATTTACACATAAAATCGTCAGAAACAGGCCACTGGTAGACAATTGGCCTGGAAAAGTTGGGGCAGCAAAACTGGAGGGAGGGAGAGTGGGACATCCGCTGCCTCAACCAAATGCCCGGCGGAAGAGCTCCGTCTTGCAGGCCCTGTGGAACTGCAATAAGTCCCACAGGGCCCTGATCTCACACGGGAGCTCATTTCACCAGGCAGGGGCCAGGGTTGAAAAGGCCCTGGCCCTGGTCGACGCTAGCCGGACATCCCTGGGGCCAGGAACCACTAACAGATGTTGATTTGTGGACCTCAGTGCCCTCCAGGGCTCATATGGGGAGAGGCGGTCTCATAGGTATGCTGGCCCCTGGCCATATAGGACTTTAAAGGTAAGCACCAGTACCTTGAAATGGATACGGAATTCAATAGGCAGCCAGTGCAGCTCGTGCAGCACTGGGTGGATACGAGCCCGCACAGGCATCGCCGTCAGCACCCTCGCTGCCGCATTCTGCACTAGCTGCAACTTCCAGAGCAGAGTCAAGGGCAGCCCCACGTAGAGAGAGTTACAATAATCCAATCTGGAAGTGACCATTGCATGGGTCATTATGGCTAAGTCTCGGGGAGCAAGATACCGGGCTAGCTGTCTGATCTGTCTCAGATAGAAGAAGGCAGACCTGGCAGTGGTGGTAACCTGGGCCAGGAACACCCCCAGGCTCTTCACATTCAATGTAGGCACCAATGGAGCCCTTTTGGAGTTCCAGATGTAAGGGGGTGAGAGTTTGGACTGGGATCCAGGTCTTGAGCAAGTTACATTTTTATAGTCTCTAGTTTGGAATATTAATTGCTTCCATCATAGATTATTGTGAAGGTGGAACAAGCAGATGCAGTCATGTCAAAGAGCTGTTAGTGTATCCCTGTTGCCTTAAACCTTGATGGGTTGGGTAGCAATTGATTGTCTGGACTCTGAATGCCTGTTGCAAGGGCCTGATGAGATAAACCAGGAGGTCAGATTGCGCAACAGAGAACCATGCTTCAAAAGGGGGTGATTGTTCATTGATTAGATCAGGATTGCTGGAATAGTTTACTCTGCTCACTGAGAGGAGGCAAAAGAGCCCTGTTGTCAGCCCCAGTCTGGCCAAGACTGTTTCTTCAAAAGTGGAAGCAAGAAAAAACCCTGAGATTGCCTCTGTGTTGCCAAGGAGTCTGTGGCAGCCGACAGACCAGAAAGGAATATGTGAAAAAAAAAGAGTCTGAGGCACCTTAAAGGCGAATATATTTAATCTGGAATAAGTGTTTGTGAGATAGAGCCCACTTTGTCAATTGCATGGTCCTCAGTGGTAGATATGCGGGTTATGTATACATGGGTGCAGACAGATATGCTTCTGTGTGTTACATACAAGTTTAATGCAAACATATTTCTCAGCTTTAATTCTAGAGGTCCTTTTATTAGAGAAGCCCAGGGAACAGGGTCTATTGGAATACTTTTGGATTCTAGGATACTTTGTCTTGGGACAAAAATTTGGACTGCTTTGAGATTTTTCTGTTACTGTTTCCCCCCCCCCCCCGAAACAAGCTAGACATGTGAGGGTCATGTAATGGAGTGACCAATGAGTCTGCCTTACTGTGTGACAGTGAGATGCCTCTCCTGACCCGATTTTCCAGGAAGAAAACTTTTAAGTCTTAATTCCTCTTTCTTTATCTCATTCTATGAGCCCCTCAAATATATGTGCAGCAGTCGCTGGTGTCTCTCCAGTAGAAATCCAAAGGAGAGCCCCTTGGAGTTTGCTAGAGAGCCATTTCTGCTCACAAGGTCTTGTAGTCCTTGCAGAGATTGCTGTTTGTGCAAATATAAGGTTGCCTTTGGAAATCCAAGCTGCTATTTTGTTGCTGATACTCCAGGATGGGAAGGGAGTGTGGGAGGAGGGGTTACACTTGAAAAAACTGCAATGAAGCTTGAGTTGATAGGACTGGTAGGAAAATCATCCAGTGGAGTTCTCGGACAGCAATGTCAGCCCCATGGCGAACGGAATATCTTTGGCAGGCAGTCCATGGGTTGGTTCTTTCTGTGATGGTGCTTTTTTGATTGTTTGGTTCAAGCGGGATCTCTGTTTTAGATTCCTAGAATATTTTTGGTTGGCTGTTAGTATAGCAGAGAGTATATTCTGTTGGGCTCATCATTTAGCATTGCAAGGGCCTTGTCTTTTTCACTTTTAAAACTTCAAGTTTCTAGTTCTAAGGGTTGTAAGTGTGTGAGATTCTGGTACCAGAATGAATTAAGTATATTAACTTCTGAATGCGCATGGAAGAAGGCTTGGTTTTGGAATTCTCTGCAGTGGAAAAACTAGCACAGCAAGAGAAGATTTTTCAGCTTTTGTTAAACCTTATTAGCTAGTCAAAGAAGAAGGGGACGGCAAAGGATGAGATGGTTAGACAGTGTTATCAAGGCAACGAACATGAAATTAAGCAAACTCCGGAGCACGACAGAAAACAGGAGAGCTTGGCGTGATGTGGTCCATGGGGTCGTGAAGAGTCAGACTCGACTGTGCGACTGAACAACATTAGCTAGTTTCTGTGAAACTCCCCAAAAATTGCAATTCAGATATTATTTTTACTTCAGTTTTCAGAAGAAGAGGTCTTTATGTCTTCTTTAAAGTATGTAATTATTTTGGAGTTCCAGATGTGCATACTTGTTAATCTGTGGCCCCAGACTGAAACAGGAGTCCAGTGCCATTTTAAAAGCTAAAAAATAATTGCTTCACCATCAGTTTTTATGATTCACTTCTAATATACTTGATGAGGTCAGACTCATGACAATTTGATTTGGAATAAATTGTGTTATTGTTTTCCGGTGACACAGTGCTTCTGTTTTAAACAGATCAACTAAACTTTTCCTAATTTATGGTTTTGGTAGTAACCTGAAGGCAATATTTTATGAGCCAGATATGAATCCAGGAGTTTAAGTTCTTCTATATTACAGTTTTAGCTGATTGTGTTTTTATCCTTCATGTCTGCTGAGGAGTTCAGGGTAGTGTATCTGATGATGCATGTGCATTGGATGTGATGTGGCAGCACATTCCAGCACCATGGCATCAAGTGAATAATGGTTTTTCTCTTCATACAGTGCCAGGTTGGCCTCTCTCTTTGGACTGGATCAAACAGTTACAGGCGCTGGAAATGAATTTTTCCAGTACACAGCACCCAAACAGCCTAAAAAGGGCCAGCCAGCTACTGGTGAGTAATTGTCTATACCATCCTTGGGCACAGCTACACAACTGCTAAACAGCTTCTTCCAAAATCTTGTGTTCCTTCTTTCAGTGCCTGATGCACAGCTGTAGCAGAGGATAATGAAGTGGTGTCTAGCTATGATTAAAGATCAAAGTGGAAATTTGCCCCTGTAGTTTCTTTTCCTGGAGTCAGTTATGTAAAACAAATGCTTCAGAAGCATTGGGTTCAATTTTATGGAATGCTTCTTTAGAATGATCAGGTAAATGCATTAATTGCATCCTAAAGATATTTATTTCCAAGCCTTCTGTTGAGAAACGTAAGTTTCTGTTAGAATACAGTGACATTTACATGCTGGGCAGAATCCAAGAAAAGCTTGCTGTGGCTGAATTCCATTCTGCTGCTTATAGTGACTGGAGATAGGAGAGAGCTTTCACAGCGGTCCAGACACTTGGGGCTGGTGTCAAAGGTCAGCTTGATAGGACACTTGCTGAGGTCTGCAGCTAGTGGAGGAGCTAACACTGGCCAAAGATGCTTGGCCCATGGGCTGCCACCAGGAATGAGAAATCAGTCAAGAAGTTCCTGCAGTAGCACAGGAACCTCTGGAACAATCTCTCCTCTTGCACTGGGAGAATCGCCTGGTTGGAACACAATTATGTTATTATCCTTTGGCCCTTAAAGAGCTATGAAAGAGTCATGTTCTGTTCCCTCCTATACACATGCAAAAGAGGATGTCCTATTTAGTGGAGAGCATCTTTCCCAGGGATCCCCAAAACCTGAAGGCCCCCTGTAGATACTGATGTGTGTCTTTAACCTGGAGTGAACTGGAACTGAACTGAATATGTAGAAATGCTATATAGTACAGCCCTTTCTGGACCTTACATCTGTAGGTAAGAGAATCTTGTGTTTGGAAGCTTCCTTATGTTAATAAAAAATTCTTTGTGCACAGGGAAGCAAGGCCAGAAATATTATCTTTAACAACGATTTCCCAGCTTTTGATATGGGAAAAGATTCACATACAGAGAGCCTTTTAGCTGTAGTCTGCGGCAGTGGTACAGTCAAGAATGTTTTATGAAACCTTCTATAGTCTAACTACAAGGCAGGGATGTATCTATGTATGCTTGCTGGTTTGTTTTTTAAAGATTTATATCCACATTTTAAATGATCCTCAAGCCAGTTTACAAACAGATTAAATACAATACACGTACTTGTCCACAGCAGCCTTTAAATTTCTGGCTGGTGGCAGAGGTCAGAGTGTCTCCCCCCCGCCTGTATTTACAGTCCCCAGGAAACTTGATGCTGTTATGTACTGATACTTGCTGGGGAAATGCTGAATGTGAGATGAAGAGCTTCCGGGCTTTCTTTGTGTACTTCTTCAGCTGCTGGTCCAGCATCACAGAAGTCACCTACTCCCACACCCTCTTCAGGAGCACCATCTGTCTTCATTGCTACAGCTGTACATGCATATCGGTTGTAAGTACCATAGCAGTGAGAATGGCAGTGGCTTTTTGTTGCCCTCTAGTTTGTCGTCATCTTATTTGCCAGTTCTGCCTATCATATATGAGCACTGCTTGGTCAGACCTGTCTGACTCTCCTCAGGGAAAAATGTAGAATCGCAATGAAAGCAGCCCTAAAACAATGAGGTTGGGGAACAGGGCATGTCTAAGTGGAAGAATACATGTTTTGTGTTCGGAACGCAACTGGTTCAATGCCTTGTGCTTCCAGTTAAAAGATTTCAGATACCGTGTTTCCCCGAAAATAAGACACTGTCTTATTATTTTTTTTCAAGAAGACACACTAGGACTTATACCACAAATGCATAGAAATCCTGCTAGGGCTTATTTTTGGGGTAGGTCTTATTTTCGGGGAAACAGGGTAGCTGCTAGTGGGAAAGACCCTTTGAAACCTGGAGAGTCACTGACAATCAAGGTACCAATACTGAGCCAGATACAAGAGAGGTCTGACGTGGTATCATGCAGTTGTGTGTGTTCATCTTTTTACTTTAAATGCATTGGACTTTTGATATGACACTTTCCCACTGAAAATCCCGCGTAATGCAGGAAATGTATCATAAAGTATTGAGCAGGACTGAGGGGAATCTTCTTGGTTGGATGCATTCCATTTGGAGTGCTGTCCTAGGACTGCCAGTATGGTCTTGCTGGGTCAGACCTGGTGTCCATCAGGTGCAGTTTTCAGTCTCCAGATTTTGGCATAAGCAGCACCCATAAATATTGTGTGTAGTGTGCTGCTGTGGGATATGGTGGCATCTGTTTGCTTGGATGGATTGAAAAGGGGATGCCAGATGATCATTCATGCATGATCTATCTCTCAGTAGCTAATTCACAGATGATAAATATTTCAGTGGCTGTCAGCCATGATAACTGGATGGAACCATATTTAAAGATGATAAACATCTGAGCGACAGATGTTAAGGACATACAGGGAATGAGTTCTTGTGTGTCCTGTTTGTTTCTAGGACTGTCTGGCTGCTCACAGATGGAATCAGGATATTGAGGCCTTTGCCCTGATCCAACGAGACATGATAGCATCCCCAGGAGCTTTGGGGCCAGGCAAGGTGTGAAGTGATGTTACGTGGTATGTTGCTGCCACAGCCAGGTGAAAACATCAGCTGTCATCACATCTGGGTTTTCTCCTGGCCATGACATTGCCATGTCATGTAATGTGACTTTCACACTCACCCCTACTCTTCTGCTGGCCCTGGAAGCAAGGACCAGGTGGGAGGACCCAGCAGCAGATGAAGCAGGCAAATGGCATGCCTATGTCTCATTAATGTAAGTGCCAAGCTCACTTTCAAAGCTGCTACCTAACAGGATTTTTTTCATTTTGCAATTCAGTGCAAACGGGCAGTATGTGAAACAAGGCAAATATGGAGCAGCTGTAGTGGGGAACCACTCGACCAAAGAGGTAGGAAATGGTACAGTGTACCATCCTAACATTTCCTTTAGCATCTTTATTGCATACTTGTGGTTACTCATCAGTTTCACTGAGTGTGCCCTCTCACCAAATTCTAATATTTGAAAGAACATCACTCTTCTCTTCCCCCTAATATACATAATTTCATAAACCCTTTCTCATTTGTCTTTTCCCTCTTCCATATTTTTTCCTAAATGGAGAAGCCTCAAATTCCTTGCCACATAGGGAAGGTGCTCCAGTCCCTTGATCTCTTTGCTTGCCCCTTTCCCAACTCTGATATCTTTTTTGACATGGAACTATCAGAGCTTTACATTGTAGCCTGGATATGAATGCTAGTTGTACAGTTGCCATGATTGCATTGCTTAGCAGCCTTGTGTGTTCAAGTTGCTATGTCATTTGTAGATGCTTTTGAATGGCCAGTTCACTCGTTTCTGTTCATGTTTCCCCCTTCTTTTCTCCCTTCCATCTCTTATGGAATCCAGTACAAGATCCTGCTTTATATCAATCAGCAGCAGCAGGTCACAGCAGCCAGGATCCATTCAGGTTTTGTACTCACGGTAAGCCTTAGAGCTAAGAACTACCCACTGAGCTGGGTCCTGTGGGTCCATTCTGCTAATTGTGGCACTTCTCCATGGATCAAGGAACTTTCTGCTGGCAAGAGGCTGTTGTGTCAATGGACATTTCCTCAAGCTGGAGCGAAGCTCCACTGTTTGTAGATCTGTGGGTTCCAACCTGTCCCAACTTATTTCCTTAATAAACTGTTAAGCATGTATAATTCTTTGTAGGTCGACTGTGCATATATTGAAAAAGGCTTCCTTTTGCTTCTTAATTTTTAAAAATTTGAATTACTTTTTAATCTAAACCAGGCTTGCAAGACACTTTTTGAATCTTAAAAATAAAATATTTAAATTACATAAAGCCAAAACATCAGAACTATAAGCAGCCAAATGATAGAAAAATAACCTTCTAATTGCAGTGTGTTCATTTAAAAATCTATAGAATATGCTTTCTGTGTGTATAGACGCATTTCTTCATGTATGATTTTTCCCCCCCCTTAAGGCAGTGGTAGTCACTCTGCAGCTGGTGGAGAACCATGTTCTCAATTACCATTAACTGAAAGGGCCACGTTTACTTCCGTCTCTGGCATGAGACCTTAGGGAGGCTTGCAGCTTACCCATTCCTTCAGCGGTGGCTGTTTCAAGGTGGAACCACCTGCTGACCACAAGCCCCACTGGACAAGGGCCTTGCTCACCTTACTGGAACATGGGGCAGGTGCAGTATTGTGGAATAGTGCTCAGAAAAGCCACACATTGCATGCCAAAGAGACACAGGTGGCTGCTCCTAAGCTACTGAGTGAGGATCACTGCCTGAAGGATACTTGTAGTAGTCTGCTGTAGCAGAAATAAACAGGAGACTTGTGTCATCTTGAAGAGTAACAGGTTTTTACTCTAGCATAAGCTTTCATGGATGAGATCCTATGTCGTTGAATGCATATAGTTAGTCCTCAAGAGGCAGAGATGCAGTTATTGTTTACAAGGTGTAAACAATAGAGTTGGAGGAGGTTATGTAATGCAGGAGATACAAGGTGAGAAGCCATTATATGCAAAATTCAAATGGAATAAAGGAGAGTGCAAAGACAATTCACAGTAGTAGTAATTGTTGATGATGCAGTTTCTCTAGTCTTGCTAAACTGGTTAACACCTGCAGTGACTGAGGAAGTCTCAAAGTCCTGATTAAGCCCTTAGGAGATGGCAGCTTTTCAACTTTTTCTTACCACTTGCTTTGTAAAAGAAAAGAAAAAGCCTCCAGCAATACACAGAGATGAAAGACTCAGGTGCTGGAGCAGAACCGGTGTGGTGGCTGGAGTGCTGGGCTAGGATCTGGGAGACCCAGGTTCGAATCTGCATTCTGCCATGGAAGCTTGCTGGGTGGTCTTGGGCCAGTCACATGCTCTCAGTGTAGCTTACTTCACAGGGTTGTTCTGAGGATAAATGGAGGAGAGGAGACTGATATAAGTTGCTTTGGGTTCCCATTGTGAAAAAAACGCAGAGTATAGATGTAGTTAAATAAATAAAATCCATCTGCCATTTTGAATGTGGGTGGCTTTCTCCTTCTGTTCACAGGTCCAGCCCAACAATTACAGTACATTTTATGATGATCAGAGGCAGAATTGGTCCATTATGTTTGAGTCAGAAAAGGCAGCCATGGATTTCAGTAAGCAGGTGTGTGAAGATACGTATATAACTGGGGTGGAGAGAGGGTACCTGGTGAAAATCTCTAATTACTAGTAAATTATATAAATGCAAGCCTCTGAGCAAGTGTTTCTGGTCACTTGTTTGATTTCCCAAGTGAATTTCCTTCGCCCTGGAGCAGCAAAGCTTTAGTTGGTCTACTTTTTTTTACAACTAACACATACTTTGCTCAGAAGCAATAAATGCTTCACATACCTAAAGGTCTTGCTGTAAGAACTGTATTCCTCTGTGTGGAACAAGGGAAGGGAAGTAGAGTTGGATTCAACTTCTGCCTAACCTGGAACAAGAAGCCGCTAGCAAAGCAAAGGCTGGGCACAAGAAAAGTGGGGCAGGGGTAAGACAGAGGCAGTGGAGAGATTTGATTTGTGGCAAGACCTGAGAAGATGCAAGAGAGAAGATTGATCAGATGTGGTTATTTTATTCCTAATGCATTTTGGGTGTCCTCATTAGGGGAATTAATTCAGCACTGCACTATTTTATTTCCCTCTAGTGTATCATATAGGAGAACTGAATCTCTAAATACTTACAGTTAAAGAGAGAGTTCTGTAGGTATGGTGTGTTAGATGGAAATGGAACTTTAAATCATAATTTCATTTTCTCCAGTTCTTTCTTGTTTGTTGGTGGTTCTCCCCACCCCCGTTTAAGGACCAAGAACAGCTGCAGTGTCCTGTTGCTACCCAGGGCTGAGTGCAGGGCTAACCTAGAAGCTTTCATAATGGCCAGGCCATCATTGTATGTGACCCATTCTTAACCTGTTGCTACCCAGATGTCATCTTTGGTCATCTGGCTGGTTACCCTGTAGTTCTCTGCTTTGGCCAGAGCTTGGTGATGGCATCCTGGCTAAATCTCTGTCTGATCCACCTCAGGCTCTCGATCAGGACCTGCTGTGGGCTGAAGGCCTGATAGGCAAAAGGATATGATTAGTCACTTTATACTGAGGCACACAATGGACCATGCAACATGGGACAGTCTGTTAGGCAGTCTGGAAGCTCTCTGGGACAAGAAACGTTTAAAAAGCAGTCCTGAGTTTTTCAGGATAGCAGGTTTAACACCAAACAATGTCCCCCAAGCTCACTTTATTTGAAAGCTCTTTGGGGCAGGGATCTGCCTTTTTCAGCTTGTGCTGTAAAGCAACATATACACTTGTAGCACACTCTAAATGCATACCAGACAGCTTATGCTAGCATCTAAATCTCCCTCAAAAGGGCCATGCATCACTTCCCATCCACCAAAGTACTGTATGTGAGCTCAGTCTATGTGGATAGTTTTTTTGTTATGGCTACTGATGTGGACCAGGATTACTAAAAGACCTTGTTCCCCCCCCCCCCCACCCTTTGTAGCTGTGCATTGCCAAATATAACAGCGTTCCGTCCCCTGATTCGGTGCTGCATCAGGATCTGATTGCTGGAGAAGGCCAAGGTGTGGAAACAGGAGACTCCTTGGAGGTTGCCTTTACGGGCTGGCTGTTCCAGAACTATGGACTAGGACAGGTGAAACTGGGAAGAGGGCTTGATGTTTCATTTCAATTGGTAGTCAGGGGATACTTTAGCTTCTCAAGAGGCTTGGGGGGAAGGTTCACCTGAGAAAGAATGCATTACCCATGTTAGCTCAGTGGGGATTTGAACAATCTAGCTTCCCCCAGAAAACCCAGATGCTCTTTAAGCCACTTCCCCATACTGACTGTGAGCAGACTTCCACTGAGGGATGCTGAAGTGTAAGTTATTATCACATCCGGTGGCCTGCAGGTAAAACAGTTGAATGTCTCAGCTATGGGTACTGGGATTCACGTCCAGTTTATACAATTAACTCACTTGGCTGCAAGTTTGTGCCTCAGGTGAAGACGCATGTTGCCAAGTTCTAAGTCATCAGCAATGTTCCCTCTAAGCTGAGTTATTGTGAGCTAGCTCACATTTTTTTAGCCTCCGGCTCACATATTTTTGTCTTAGCTCAGGAAGGATGGCTCCAGAGCAAACTAATTTATGCAGTAGCCAAATCGCTCGCTCACAACTGTAATGCCAGTAGCTCACAAAGTAGAATTTTTGCTCACAAGAGTCCACAGCTTAGAGGGAGCATTAGCCACCAGGTGAGAATTTTATTTTCTGAGGCATTTTTGGTGGGATCCTTTTTCCCTGGAGGTGCTGGGGATCATATATGTGACCTTCAGCGTGCAAATCTGTGCACCGCTTAGTTATGGTGTCCTTATGGGTAAGATATTGAGCTTTAGTCCCCCAGTCTGAAGTGGAAGGCCCTATGACCCCTGAGAGTCCATTGTGATCATCTCCCAAGCATCATGCTGTAGTGGAATATCAGTGTGATTTGCTAAAGCTTAGATGTCAGGATTTAAAACTGTTCACCCCACATTAAATATTACTAAGTGCCATGTAACCATTGCCCTTCACTGTCAACAGGTGTTTGACTCAAATGTCAACAAAGACAAGCTCTTGCGTCTGAAGTTGGGCTCTGGCAAAGTCATAAAGGTAGGTATTCTAGCACCATGATTGAGTGGGTTTTTTCCTCCCTACAGTCTTCATTTCTAAATTAACAGTATAGTAGCAGTTTCTTCGAGAAATCCAGAAGAGAAATAAAATGCCTGAGCCCAAGTCCGTATTCTGATCGGTGTGAAACTTGGAGTCCCCTACCCCACATAGGGAAGGCCCTCTGGGCCCTTTTCAAATGGCCTTTAGATGGTGGTAGGAAAAAAAATAACACTTTTCTGGAAAGCATTTAGCTTGTAGCTGTTAAGTGGAACTGCCCTAATGTTTTATTAGTCTGTGTTGGCTCTTTGATTTTAAGTGTTCCTGGCTTCTTTCTTGTTCTTTTAATTTTTAGTGTAGTTGTGGTTTCAGAAACAAGTGGCATCAGGACTTTGGCGAAAGGCAGGGTTTAAATATTTGCATAAGTAAGTGCATCCCTCCAGAGTGAGAGGTGGGAAATTGTCATGGCACAGTTAAGAACAGGACATGAGGACCATTTTCACTAGCTCCTGGCAATGGCATTTGGTGCATACATTGCCCTGATGCCGCCCTCCCCCATACAAATCTCTTCATCCACTGTAGTCATTTTCAGGGTGATAACCTGAGAAAGGGCCTTTTCGGTCATGTGACCAAAACTTTGGAACTCCCTCCCCAGGGCGATTTGTCTGTCTCCATGTATCTTCTGCTATAGGGTGAAGACATTTTCTGTTTTGTCTGGTTGTACCCCCAGTAACTGTTACTGACCCTCCTCTCTGGTTGTTTTTATGGGTTTATATGTTTTTACTAATTGTTTATTTCATATATACTTTATTTTAGATGCTGTTTTAATGTTGTAATGTTTTGATGTTTACTGCCTTGCATACCCTATTTTGAATAATAAATAAATCCCCTCACTGTGTCACTGCTTTTTAAAGTTTTTGCATGTGTTAAATGCTTGCCAAACACTGCTGCAAAACCATAGTATTTATCGGTACTTCTGTGTTACGTTAGTTCCTCATGAGTAAGAGCACTTGGAATTGTTATGGACTAGTAAATGTGTTTTGGTACTACTGGTTCAGACTGTTTTCAAACTTTGTTTTGTGTGTGTGTGGTTCTTGTGTTTTTGGTCCCAAAGGGTTGGGAAGAAGGGATGATTGGCATGAAGAAAGGAGGAAGGCGCTTTCTCCTTGTTCCACCAGCACTGGCTTATGGGCCGCAGGGAGTAGCCAATCGCATTCCCCCAGACTCGACCTTGGCCTTTGAGGTAGAAGTCAAGCGGGTGAGTTGCTGTTTCCAGACACATAGCCATTATAGGGTTTCTTGGAATGTGTCACCGGCCAGGTAACAAGGCTACATGGCATGTGTCTTTTGCTCCCTTAGGTGAGGCTTGTGAAGGACTTGGGCTCCAATGAACAGAACCTAGGCCACAGGGATTCTCTTGTGCCTTCCCCTGGACCAAACCAAGAAAATCTCTGCATGGATCCAGCAGGGTTGCTTCCTTCAACACTACCTCCAAAACCAGGGTGAGAAAACCAAGTGGGTTAAGAACTTAAAGCAAAGCAGAACAAACCTATCTTAGTATGTTGCAAATACACCACCGCCTCTGTGTTAGAGTTTGACATAGCTAATAAGGTCCTTCTGGATCATACTGAATCATGCCTTGCTCCATTGTTTGTTTCCAGACAGCCAGATGCCTCTATGCCTTCAACAGCATATGCCCTCAACTCTATTCTCCCCCTGAATCACTCGGTGCAGGATGCTGCCTTTGAGCCTGGAGGTTTCATTTAGCTTTTATGCCAGCTGGTATCAGTAGACTTCTCTGCCGTCAATTTGTCTAATCTCTCTTTTTTAAAAAAAATAAGCACAGCATTATACTAAATTTTTTTGAGTTGTGGCTGCAGTGGATCTGTCTGTTCTGAATTGTTGTCTATGCATCTTCCCTGTGGGTTTGCTGGGTGTGTGTGGAAGTTGTGGGATATCTCCTTGGTTTTAAAGCAAGTGGTAGGTCAGTGCAGATAGAATTCTGCCCATCCTTATCCATGATTCATACTCTCTTTCTTTTCTTGTGTGACCAGATATCCCATTTTCTTGCCTGCTTCAGCCTCGGGTTTGCTCTTAACAAGTGTTCTAGTTTGCTTGAAGTACTAACTGCTTTCAGACTTCACAGTGAACAGTGGTGTATGCAACACGGTGCTTAATCCAAGAGACATAAGTAGCAAATCCAGGTTTGTGGGTCTGCTTGTGTCTGACCTCCCTTTCAATAGGGAGGATGTCCTTTCTAATATTGCCTTCTCTGGGACTTGGCAGTTGCAAAGGACAATGAATTCAGGTATTACATCAAACTACAATTAGCACAAACTGGTTAACAAACATTAGTTTGAAATTCTGGTTTTGTTCCAGTCAACAGCCCCAGTTTGTTTGGCCAGTTGCATTTGGACTTCACAGCTAACTGAGGTTTGATCAAACAATGGTTTATCACAATGTCTCAGTGCAGCCACTGTTTCAAGCACATTAAAAAAATCATTTGGAGCAAGCCTAACACTGAAGCTGGTAATGAAAGAGGGTAAATCATGCAGAGAAGGGGAGGAATATATGATCCCACATAGTTACTGGTCAAGGGTGAATTCTGTTCTGTTGGTGGTCCCTTAACCACGGATCAAGAAGCACATAAGAACAACCCTGCTGGATCAGGCCACTGGTCTTCCATCAGCTGACCAGACTCCAAGAAGGGGCACAGAGGTCAAATCATCCCCCTCTCAATTGACCCTCAGAGATATTTTGCCTTCAGAGATGGACAGCCTATGGATAGATCTCTCTTCTGTGAACTGTCTGCTTTGACAGGTAATGGCTGTCACCCATCTCAGGACAACGTCCTGCAAGTTAGTTATGTGGATAACTAGAGTCAGCTTTTCTGCATCATACCCTATTGTCTTGACAAAGGGCAAGTGTTCTACTGGAGACCAGTTTGCTTAATTGGGCAATGTTTGAGTACATCAAACATTTTAAGATCCCTGGAATGCTTCTGCAGTGCACTGAAGTATTAAGCTCCTTTCTGTCTTGTAGGGAGCCTGCAGTGAGAGTGAAATCCAACTCCATCAGTGAACAGCTAGCGGTAAGTCCCCAGCTTGGCGAAACCTCTATTTGAGATATTTGATTTTAAGGTTTTCAACCAAAAGAGATGTAGATTAGAACCCCAAATACGAACAAGACGGCACTCTCAATTAATACTGCCCCCTGCAAATACAAGCCGGCAGGGTATGTGTGGTTGAGACCAGCAGTTGTTTGGGGAACATAAATTAACCTTTTCCTGCAAATACTGCAATTTCTGCATGTTCTTTTAAAAGAATTCTTGGAAGGATGATGCAGGCATGAACAAAGCAGTCTTGGTTTTTGGTAATCGATTCGCCTGTAGCTGGACCTTGATTGTACTTGTAATGATGGGAAATCACTGGGAAGAAAAACTAGCAAGGAAGCGTCATACCATTGTGAGTGGGGTGAAAAGCTGCCTTTTAAAGTCCCCATATTCTACCATTCAGTAGTATGAATAATGATGATTGTCAGTGGAAAGTATGCTTGCTGCATCCTAAGAAAAGGGAATGGTATTCTGTCTTGCCATGCAGTAACCATTTCTCTTTGGAAGAGCGAGCAATGTTAACCCTATTTCCTCTTTCCCAGAATCCTGACGTAGCGAAAGCAAAGCTGATTTCACGGATGGCAAAGATGGGGCAGCCCATGTTGCCTTTCCTTGCAGGCACAGCTCCAGCTCAGCTTGACTCAAGTGATTCAGAGATGGAGGTGGGTTTGTTGGAGAGGTTATTGGGGATGGGGCTGCTGCTGGCATTGTTGCCAAGACTGGAGACCTGATCCTGTGGCATTCAGAGCGGGTTGCAGGGGCTAAAGCAGTGGCTCAGGTAGAAGCTCTTGGTGGGGTGTTCCTGCATGTCTTTCTGCCTTTCAGTGGGATTTCAAACAAAATAATTCTGGTTATTCCTGATCCTTAGGGGTGGAACAAGCTAGATAGAAGCCCTCACTAACTGCAACCTGTAATTATGAATTGCTATTTAAGTCCTGGCAGGTCACAGATCCTAACTAGGCCCTCTATTGAGTTAGCTGTTCTCAAAGTGGAAAGCTTGTCATGCACACACCATTCAGTCAGCTGACCAGTTGCAGCCCAAAGTTAACGCTGTACTTCTGAGTTCCCTGGTGTAATAGGAAATGAGGCATCTTCAGCTCCTCCCACCATTCCCCTCCCCCTAACACACCTGAAGTATTAGTTACTGGAGCAGGTAGGGGTTGGATGGTGGGAGGTGGGCAACAGGGTCAGGGAAGGAACAGCTGGAAGATGCTGTGACTATCTTGTCTCCTGCGGCACCAGAAGGAAAGATCCAATATAAACTCTGCAGTGAGACCTGGCAGACTCTTACCATGGGACCAAGTTCTGTTGGTAGCAGGCTCTGGGGTTTTTTTTTAATCACTTATCCCATCTCCTCTCACTCATTTACTGCACTTACAGCTGCTGAGACTCAAGGTGGAGTAGAAAATATAACAAACCACTCACTCTGACAGCATAAGACATTGATAAACAACACAGTAGAACTAGGATTACCAAATTAGAAAACAATCACAGACACTGTCTAAGGCATGACATACCATAATGTAGTAAAATCAAGTCAATATCATACATACAAGGTGCTGTGTATATACAATAAGCAATTTGTTTGGCTTTTCCCCCAGGACCCAAATTCCTTGCGAGGAGCAGCAGCACAGCCAGTGGCATGCTCCCCCTTGAAGCCATCCCCTCAGACAACCCTGCCTCAGATGACGGCAAATGGTAAAGAGCAGGAAGGTTCAGGCCTACGTGTTCTTTTGTGTGTGTGTGTGTGTACCTGGAAGTTATGGCAACCTCTGGTGACTGACCTCTACTGGGGGCCTGGAGGATATTCAGAGAGGTGGCTGAATAAAGCCTGTCCCTGCCTCTTGGCTCTGGTATTTCGAGGAGGTCTCCCATCCAAGTACTTGCTGCAGTCAACCCTGCTTAGCTTCTGAGATCTGATGAGATTGGGCTTGCCTGGGCTATCCAGGGCAGGGCTATGTGTTCTTCTTGAGTCAAATATCATTCAGCTGCTTGCTAAAGTCTCATTAAAGAAGCGGGCAGTGGTTAATAATACTCCCCAGAGCAGCAACGATCTGGTGTACATAGCCCCGTAGCTAACAGCTTTTTGCTCGGAGGGCCAATGTTTTTCTCAGGGGGCCTGCCATTATATGTCTGTGTGGTACTGCCATGCCATGCTCATAATTCTAAATAACTAAATAATTAATACAAGTGGTTTATTGCACAAAAATGTTTCACGGAGAGACTTGAAGGCCCATTGGAAATAATGGGAGCCAGGAATGCCAATTGACTTGCATGGGCTAAAGTAGAGTTGGAAAGAAAATGTGGAATGGATGGCTGCACAATGGTGGAGGGAGGAATGGATGCTGGAAATGCAGCAGCACAAAAATGAGGGGGTAACAAAAAAACCCAGCCAGCTCGGCCCCACGGAAGATTTATTTATATTTATTTATTTATTGGTCTTTTACCCCGCCCTCCCGCCAAGGCGACTCAGGGCGGCGTACAGGTGTTCTGGGAGTGGAATAACCGGTTCCAGAGTAGAATGGCAGCCCAAGGGGGTAGGAGATGTGTCCTGGGACTGTAATGATAGGCCTGGCATTCCAGGGGCTGTCATTCCACTCCCAGAATACTCCTGATCCCCCCACGGGCTGTCATTCCACTGTGGGGCCTGTCATTCCATCCTCAGAACACATCTGCTACCCCCAGGGGCTGTCATTCCACCCTGGGGCCTGTCATTCCAGTCCCAGAACACTCCTGATACCCCAGGGGCTGTCAAAAAATGAGGGGGTAACAAAAAAACCCAGCCAGCTCGGCCCCACGGAAGATTTATTTATATTTATTTATTTATTGGTCTTTTACCCCGCCCTCCCGCCAAGGCGACTCAGGGCGGCGTACAGTAGTTAAAAACCAGTATACAGTTAATACCAATACCAGGTGACCAGGCTCAGCAGAGGAGACTTCCTCCAGGTCTACTGAGCTGCTGAGTTGGTGAAGGTGGAGCTGCCGGGGTCCGATCCGTCTGACGAAGGAAGAGAAGGAGGAGGTATGGCCCAGGGCCGTGCAGGAGGACAAGCAGAAGGCTCATATCCTCATGCTCTGCTGCTGCTGTTGCAGTTTGCCTGGAGTTGGAGGAAGTGGCGAGGTGGCTGGCTTAAACGTGTATTTGGCGGGCTCTTTGCTTTGAACCCGCCCACTATTCCAAATAAGGCAGCCAATGCTGAACCTGAGGTCGGTCCGGGTGGGAACTAGCTCTACTCCTCTTTCTGTTTTCCCCAACAAGTCCTGCTGCTCTTCTCCCGAGTCAGCCAGCAGAGTGCCGACAAGACGATCGATCAGGGGGTGAGGGGGCCAGAGGGAGGGAGGGGGAGCTGAGGATTGGGGGAGGGGCTCACAAAAAAGCACGGTGTGTGTGTGTGTGTGTGGGCCCCTTGATAGCTGCGGGCCTGGGTGTTGTCTGTCATCCTTCCCGACCCCCATGAGATCCTGAAGCGTATGTGTATGGATTACGTGCATGCATGAAGGACCATGAGAACACAGGCAGAAAGATCACTTAACTGTTCACTTAGCATTGGGCGAGCTTTCCTTTGTGGGCAAAAGTTGCTCTAGCTCTGCACCCAGTGCAGATGAACAAGTAGAAAGCAGCAGTGGGCGAGCCTCAGGCATCATTTCCTTTTGGGTCAGGTGCAAACTGGCAATATTTTCTTCCTGTCTGTCTCCCCACCACCTCCCCACAGTCAGGATGTTGAATGCATAATGCTAAGAAAAATGTCCTATGCAAATCTTAAGTTTTATATGGAGTAAAGCTGAATACTGGAATTTGTATAAATTTAGCAAATATGTATAATTTCTTCATTTTTTTTAGTAATCCAGGTTTTGTTAGTCATGGGGGCAGGAAAGATCAAGGACCTGAAGCCTGCCTTCCTAACCATCTGGAACCCTTTATTATGATATTTGTGCACTGCTTTTCTGCATGTAGTTGAGCTCAGTGCAGTTCAGAGTAATGTGATTCAGAACATGCATGTTACAGTCAGAACAACAACATGCTTGTGTAGGTTTAGATACCCTTCTGGCTTCTCAGATTACAATAAACATGTTTTCTTCAGAGCCATAATGGGTAGAAGCTTGGGGTGGGTGTGTTGTTTTTTAACTACACGTTTTGGAGGAAGGTGACCACTGCACCTACTGCTGCACGGTGGACACTCAGTTGGTGTCAGCATACATGCAACCCTTGTTCCTAGCTTCTGTAGCTATACTGTACAATCAGTGCCAGTTATTGCTGTGGAGCTTGTTGCAGTTGTCCCCATCACTGCTCATCAGGTGCTGTTCCAGTTGCCAACTCTGTCCTAGGAAATCTACGTAGCCTTTTCTTGGGCTAGGAGTGGGGAATGTGATTGATAGCATTGAGCCAGGAGCAATGTAGGCTGGTGTGACAATGCTGCACAGATGTGAAATGTGCAGAAAAATGGGGGTGGGGGGTGTCTCATTTCATCTACCGTAACAAGCCTGTTTGTATTGAGCTGAGCAATGTTAATGTCTCTGGTTTCTTCTTAGTGGCTCAGCCTGCTGTTTCGGGGCTGCAGATGTCCTCCAGTGCCATAATGCCTGCAGCCCTTCAGTCGCATTCTGCTGTTCCCGGGACAGCCCAAGCTTTTCAGGTATGGAGATGCTGGTTGCTGGCGCTTCTTTATCAGAAGATGCTGCATTTAGAGCCCTTCTCTCCTCCCGTCCCCCAACGCACATGCTGAAGACTTTCCCGTCCCCCAACGCACATGCCGAAGACTTTCATGGCATCACCACCCCGATTCATTGCCTCTTCTGTGGTCAAATAATTATACTTAGAAAGTGTGGCTTCAAATCATGCCTTTGCTATGGGTTCAGTTCCTTGCCTCCTCTCAGCCTCAGTTTGTCACCTGCGAGAGGAGAACTAAGCATCCTGCCTCACAGGCTGAGTGACCACAAAGGTTAGTGATGCATTATGGGAATCAAAAGTACTAAATCAATGAGGCTAGAAGCTTTGATTTTAATTAAAGCTCTCGCCTGAATAGAAGTAGTTTGTCCCCTTAACATTATTGGTTTTCCAGCTGTTACGGATTCAAAGGCTGGCCTTGCAGCTCTGGACCCCACTGACTTATTTAGACTTGAAGGTTGTGAATTGTGCTGTTAAGTGGGATTTGACACCCCCTCCCCGGCCACCCACACGCAGTGTCTGTTTCACAATTCAAAGAAGAATATTTTCAAGCTTCTGTCCAATTGAGGCTTTGCCACTTACTCTGTTAAGCCTGATTCTTCTTGCCCTTGCTCCCTCAGCCATATGCAGGGGTGACGTCTGCGTACCCACAAGCCACTACTGCAGCTTCTCAGCTCCAACCTGTTGGGCCAATGTACCCCTCTCCTTTTCAAGGTATGCTGGAAAAAAATGTGTAGTGGGTATGTAATTGACAGCTGTTCTGAACTGAGTGTGTTGGAAGTCCTAATTCAAATCTCTCCTCAGCCAGAAACTCAGAGACCTTTGGCAAGCCTCTCTCAGCCTCACCAGCACAATTGGCCCTCTGCACTAGCTGACTGTCCATTTCCATTTACAGTGCCTGGCTATGCCCCTGCCACACTTCTACGCATGCTTGTGCTAGCTGAGGTGGGAAAAGGCAGCATCCAGGCCCACTCCACCACCCACCCCGAACTTTGAAACTCCCCCTCCCATGCAGTGTGTCAAGCCCCTTTCATTGCTGCCTTTCCAAAGGGCCATTATTACATCAAAATATTTTGGAATGCTTTTTAAATTATTTTGTTGGGTTTTATTGCTGCCAGCTGGTTGTAAAGCACTGGGAGAGGAGAAAGCTACTCACCATTGCCATGTGATATGACACAGTCTGACAGATTAATGGTGATAGATAAAACATCTATGCTCTGAGAAGTAAGACTAATCAAAACTGTGTTCCCAACTTTTTAGAAAAAACAATTACTACTTGTGCTACGTATAGACTCTGCAAGGAAGTAGCAGAACAGACTTTTTAAATTTAGCTCAGTATTTACTTAGGATGTTTGTTTTTAAGTAAGGTTTTAAATTTGATGCACAATGTCTGTTCTAAAGATCAACAGAGTAATGTGATGGGAGATGCCTTCTTTTCCCCCCTGTACATATTTCTCAGATTAATAGACTTACCACCACAATATACGTTGGTTGATATTTATATTTGTCCCATTTCTGTAACATTGAAAACCTGTAAACCTAACATATGAAAAGCTTTCTAAAAAATTGCATGCTGTCCCCCCACCCCACCCCCATTGCTGCAGCTGGAGACATTGGTTCATTCCTGATGACAGAGGCCAGGCAGCAAAACACAGAAATCCGCCTGGCTGTTGGCAAAGTGGTCGATAAATTAGATAATCTGGCAGACAAGGTAATTAATGGGGTTCTTGGGGTTCTTGAAGTCTACATAAGAATGAATTTAGACCAAGGGTCTGTTTTCATCAGCCAAGTAGAGACCCCTGGGAAGTTCATAAGCAGGGCCCTGATGATTCAGTGTCTCTGTTGATAGTCCAAAATCTGGTGTTTAGGGGCTACTGTTCCTGCATATGGAGGTTCGGTTTTGTTAAGTAGCCATGCACCTCAGACCAAAGTCAGTGCAGTGGATTCCTGAGCTACATACAGAGCAGTTTATTTGGGGCCTGTTGCTTATGCTGTTTGCTCTTCTAAGGCACTGTGGTTCCTTGCCCTATTGAGCCTCCATTATTCAGGCAGCCTTTATGGATTGTCTGCAGTGAGGCCCACCAAACCCTTTCCATTCTCATTTTATTTGGTCCTTCTGTGAGTATCTCAGTTCTAGCTGCCCTGCTAGCTTACAATGCGGTGTGGCACATACACATGGCAGCATAGGGGAGCATGGTGACTGGGCCACTCAAAAGCAACTGGTATGCAGAGTAAAGAAAGGGCCAGAAGCTGTCAGGCAGATCGGACTCACCTCTCCACTTTCTGCATCACTCACACTGCTGGGGGAAAACCCAGCTGATGCTGTTGAGGGATTTGGTCATCACAGCACCAAAGAACTGAACTCTCTCCTATTTCTTTGCAGTACCAGTTCCGCGGAAATAAGAACAACTTTTTCTGATTCCCCAGTCACTCTCTGTTCAGTGGTGGCTGAGTTACTGGACTCATAGGGATGTCCTTCTCTTCAGGATATCAGGGTCTGGGCCAATGTTCCCTCTAAGCTGTGGAGTCTTGTGAGCAAGAATTCTACCTTGTGAGCTACTGGCATTAAAGTTGTGAGCCAGCGATTTGGCTGCTGCATACATTAATTTGCTCTGGAGCCCTCCTTCCTGAGCGGAGACAAAAATGTGTGAGCTGGAGGGTAAAAAATTGTGAGCTAGCTCACACTAACTCAGCTTAGAGGGAACACTGGTCTGGGCATTGCTTGCAAATCATTCAGGGGGCAGTTATCTCCCAATTGTTCTGCTGCTCGTCTCCCTCTGTGCAAGCCATGCCACATTCCTGTCCCTTCCTGTCTAAGCACAGTTCACCAAATCTCCTTCCTGTCCTCAGAGAGGAGGAGAGCAAAAGCCCTGCATGGTCTCCTCTTCAGTGCTAACCTGTCTTAGCCAGTGCTGAGAAGAGTCCTTGCTCAACTACTGGTTTGTAGCCTAAGAGTGGGGAGGAAGAGCAGGGGAGTCTCACCTGTGGCTGGAATGTTGTAAAGCTGCAATTTGCCCATCTGTTTCTCATCTGGAGTCTGTTGCTAGTCGCCTTGGGAGAGGTGGTAAGCTACCGGCCAACTCAAGCTTTCCCTGCCTCCTATGGGCTGATGTCAAACACCACAACTCTGTTCTTTCCAGGTGAATGAGCTACAGAAGCAGAACTCCAGCCACAGTTTATTGCCAGGGAGCTCCTCTGTTACCATGGAAACAGCTATGATCATGAGCAACATCCAGCGCATCATCCAAGTGAGGACCACTTAGCCTCTGAGGGGTATCTTTGTTGGCTTCTCTGGAGAGAGAAACTCATCCACTTAAGATTTACCAAGGAGACTTAGGGGCAGGGGAGAAACAATTCCATGTGACTAGAAGAATGCCCAAGATTTTTTTTTTCATGCCCAAGATTTTTCAAGCTATGTTGCAAGGCATCCTGGGTCCCTTAGAAGTTTGTCAGAGACTCATTGGTCAGGAGATGAGCAAAGGCAGAAAGCTTCTCTGGAAAAGATGGCTTGTCTGGTGCTTACAGCGGCACAGTAGCTGAAGGGCTGAGCTGAATCCAAAAGGTTCCTGGCTCAAATCTCCCTGCTGATTACACACCCAATAGATGGGCTTTAGGCAAGCCACGCTTTCTCAGCCTTCTGCTTCCTTTTGCAGGGCTGCTGAGGATGTATGTCAGAGCAGTATTTGAGCATCTTCCCTTGCAGTGAACAGCCGCAAAGGACTGTTATAGGACTATTCAGGTGCATCCTCTTGAGTGCATGCAGGGTTACTGGAAGGCTCAAGAAGCCTGGGCAGTGCCCTGCATGAACTGGCTTACACTCTGGAATGTGCCCCAGAATCCTTTGCAGTGCTCAAGAGACAGTAAGTCAGAACTTTGGGACAGCATTTGTAGAAATAAAAAATTGGAAAATTGCTGCCCCAGGGGAAGAGAGATCGAATTGGGGCTGGGGGTGGGGGCAGCCCTTAGGCCTCAGTGCTGTTTTCCCCTATGTTCTCATTCTGGGATGCGCTTGGGTTCTCTCCTGCACTGTGTTCGTGTTGCAGGAGAATGAGAGGCTGAAACAAGAGATTTTTGAGAAGAGCAGCCGGATTGAGGAGCAAAACGAGAAGATTAGCGAGCTGATTGATCGCAACCAGAGGTGAGGAGAGGTGGTGCTCCCCCTTGTAAAAGTGTATTTTTTAGCTGAGGAACACCTCACATGCCCCTCCGTATTGGAGGGGTAACCCACATTCATCTCAGCTCTGTAAGGAAATCTGGTGGCCTCTACCACTGTGTGCTCTCTATTATGAGTCTATGCATGGCATCAATATTGCTTTATGCCATTCCTGGCTGGCTCTATCACCCCTGTAGACTTTTGGAATTCCCAATGGGGTCAGTTGACCCAGCTCCTATAGCCCTCTTTGCCCCATCTCAGGCTGCTGAGGAAGCATCCCATCACCTTAGCAAGTCTTTCTAGCTAGAGTGGCATCACATTAGTACTTGGCAACAGGGCCTAGCAAAGTTGTGAAGGTGATCCAACCATCAGTTCTCCCTTCTCAGTCTAGCTAGCTAAGGTTGAGGAAAGGTGGGTAGGAATGAAGCAGAAAGCCTCTAGTAAAGAAAGTGTAAAGCCAAGAGAGCTCAAACAGTGGGGCACACAGGACTAGAACTTGGAGCAGGCAGGACCAGAACCTCCCACCAGAAAGAACAGCTGCTTAATTTGGGGGATCCACAGATGGAGAATTTATGTGTTGCATTAAAATGAACAAACTCCGTTTGCCATACCGTGCGATTAAATGTTACAAGACTGTTGTGGGTCACATAAAATAAATTCATGGATCAAATCCACTCCTTAGACCAACCCTGCCATCAGGACTCATAAAGCCATGTGCTGCTGCTTCTCTTCCCAGGTACGTTGAGCAGAGCAACCTCCTGATGGAACAGAGGAACACCTCGCTGCAGATGAGCAATGAGCATACGCAGGCAAGGGTCTTGCATGCTGAGCAGGAGAAGGTAAACTCTGCAGGAGTGGTGGTCGAGAAGTCTGGATGGTGACCAAGACTGCTGGGAGGGCAACAGCAGCTCAAGATCATGACCAGTCTGGAGCCCTCTCAAACTGGGTTTACTGTTCTAGATTGGAACCTTGTTTTGCCTATACAGATCCTTTGAAGTATAAGGGGGAAGTAGAACCTTTTTAACTACACGTCAGCCCCCTTGGTGTGAGAACAAGTGAGTGGTCAGAAGACACTAGGGCATAGGTAAATCTGCATTTAGTGACCTTAAATATGTGCTGTTCTTGAAGCAGTGCTAGAATTACAGATGTTCATCTCCCATGTCTGGTAATTCATGTGCCAAACACAGAGTACTGTTCATCCCCAGAGCTCTGCTAACCTTTTCCTCTGCTGACGACTCTCTCCTGCTTTTATATCACTGGTGTTAACTTTCCTTTCCTGTTGCTGCTTTTTTCCCCCTGTTAGCACAAGCTGCCATTGGAACAGGGCTGGGACCAGGTGAGGCATTGTCCTCTAATGTCCAGAAAATCTGGAATCCCCCCCCATTCCCCCCCCCAAATTTACGTTTTCCAACCCAAATGAACCAAGACTTTCTCCACTGTTAGCACAGTCCAGATACTGGGGTAGAGTAGGGTGAATTTGCTAAATTTAGACTAGCCCAAGACCACTAAGAATTTGGGACACACAGACACATTTCAGGAGCAGAACCATCCCATCCAAATCTTGCATGCTGCAGAGGCAATATCGTCATTGGTGGTAAGGGGAAGAGCTGAACTGTGCACTCTTGATTTTTTCCTGTTGAGAGCCCAGGTTTGCAGGCCACGCTGCTAGGCTTGGCTATTATATTTGGAGATCATTTAGGGATTCAGTAATTTTAAAAGGTAAGGGTTCCCTTGCTCGAAAGCCAGTCGAGTCCGACTCTATGATTGCGGTGCTCATCTCCGTTTCAAAGCCGAAGAGCCAGTGCTGTCCAAAGACGTTTCCGTGGTCATGTGGCCGGCATGACTAAACACCAAGGCGCACGGAACGCTGTTACCTTCCCACCGAAGTGGTACCTATTTATCTACTTGCAGTTTCTTGCTTTCGAACTGCTAGGTTGGCAGGAGCTGGAACTAGAGATGGGAGCTCACTCCGTCATGCAGCACCCGGGTCTTGAACTGCTGAACTACCGACCTTCCACAGCCTGCAGTTCAGCATCTTAACCACTTGAGCCACCGCAGCTCAATTTTGCCAGGTTACACAAAAATTCCAAAACATACTTAAAACAAGATCCAGGTGGGCAGCTGTGTCGGTCTGAAGCAGCAGAACAAAGTTTGAGTCCAGCGGCACCTTTAAGACCAACAAAGTTTTATTCAAGGCATAAGCTTTCATGTGTACAGACATTTTTTCAGATACAAGGAAGAAGCATGGCTGCACATGAAAGCTTATAGCTTGAATAAAACTTTGTTGGTCTTAAAGGTGCCGCTGGACTCAGACTCTGTGCATAAAACAAGTCAATTTGAAATGGGCAAAGTCAATAAAAATGTAGCAAATGTTTATCTCTGTCCTAGCATGTTTGAGCTGTACCACTTCAAGGTGCTGGTGAGGGCTAGTGTGGCTGGAGGGTTTCTCCATGCAAAAGAAAATCTTGGCTCACAGGAAGTTGCCATGTCAGGGAGAGGGGTTCTAGCGTAACCAGTTTTCTGTGGTGGGTTTTATACATAATGGCAAACCTGGGATTGCTGCTATGTGGCCAAGCCTGCGGATTTACAGGCTTACTCACTGCTACATTCCCTTGTGCATGGCCATCCAGATACATACTCTTCTGCTTTTGCAGCAAATTGTAGTTCATGGTCCTTTTCCTTCTGCACATCGAGGTTCCAAATTCTGGTTTGATGTTGGTTAGTTTGGTTAGCAGGGCCAAACACAAAGCATCACCGGCCACTTCAGATGTGTAAAGGCAGACTGTAGTTTGCCATGAAATTATAAATCCAGAGGTTTGACAACACAAAAGGAGGTGGAAAGAACACAATATTTATATATTTATTTTTATGCCCCACTCTTCCCCTCACTTGTGGGTTCAGAGTGCCATACCATCATTCTCCCCATCTCCAGTTTATCCTCGCAACAGACTTGTGATGTAGGATAGGCTGAATGTGTGTGATGGGCTCAAAATCACCCAGTGAGCTTCTATGGCAGAGTGGGGATTCCAACCTGGGTCTCCCGGATCCTAGTCTGATGTTCTGCCCACTACACAGGAGCCTGAGTATCACATAGCAACAAATCATTGTTGTAGAATTTCTGCCACACCACACCCCCATCATGAGGAAGCATTTAATCCAGTAAGCCCTCACCTCTAGACTGAAATGGTACAGTCAAGACACAGTTCGACTATCTTGCTTAGATCTGGTCATCTTAACTCTTGGACAAAAATCCCCAGCTGGCTTTGTTCTTGACACATGGTTCCTACAGTGCTTCTGGAAGATGCTGAGACTGAGTCTGCAAGGAACTCCAGAGCTGTTGGCAGCATTTTTGTGGTATGTCAGTTGCCTCTGAGCACCTTACAGCAGCAGTACCGTGCACACACTAGGATCTGGGAGACTCGTTTTTGAATTGCCATTCTGCCATGGAAATTTGCTTGGTAAACCTTGGGCAAGTCATACACACTCTCCAGCTCCAATTGCAGCTGCTGGATGACCTTGGGCAAGCCATAGTTCTGTCAGAGCTGTCCTTGAAAGGGCAGTCCTCAAAATAGCTCTCTCAGCCCCACCTATCTCACAGGGTGTCTGTTGTAGGGAGGGGAAGGGAAAGGAGTTTGTAAGATGCTCTAAGACTCCAAGTGAAGGGTGGGGTATAAATCCAATCTCTTCTTCTTCTTCTCTTCTCTTAACCCACCTCACAGGGTTGTTGTGAGAATAAAATAGAGAGAATGGTATAAGTTGCTTTGGGTCCCCATTAGGGGGCAAAGGTGGGGTATAAAGGAAGTAGATCAATTGGATGGCTTTAAGAAAGGGTACGGCAAATTAACTGTCTATTGATGTTTTATAACTGTGATAGTATGCAGTCTCCATGTTCGGAGCCAGTCTGCTTGTGAATACCTGGTGCTGTGTACAAACCAACAAGGCTTTTGTGTTCATGCCCTGCTTGTGGCCTTCATGAAGGCACCTGACCAGTTGTTGTCAGAAACAAAATTCTGACCTAAGAGAACCCTTGATCCTGTCCAGCAGGGATCTTTTTATGTTGTACGTTCACAAGTAGCCCAGGTGGCTCTCCATTCAGTGAGTTCCTGATTATTGGTTACAGCACCATCCTGATTTTACATGTGTCCTATGCTGGCTCAGAGTAATTGCCTACATTTAGGCTTGCCAGGGGGTCTGTGTAGGCACCGACGGAACTGGTCTGAAGTTTGCTTAATGGAAACTCAGCCCAGCATCTGGGTTGCTTGCAGAAGCTGCCCCCGGATAAGCTGCCTCTTGTATCTGTTTGGAGGAGCCCTCCTGAGATTTCTCCTTTGCTGTCTCTTTCTCACTTGGCAGGTCAAGGTTGCCGAGGAGCTGGCAGCTGCCACGGCGCAGATCTCCCGGCTTCAGCTGGAGCTAACCGATCACCAGAAGAAAGAGATGGATTTGCGCTCCCAGTTGAACACGGCCCTGAAGGAGGCGGAGAGACATGGCACACAGCTCAACCAGCTGCAGGCCCATCTGGCTGGTGAGGGAAACGTAGGAGAGGGCCAAACTCGAGGGACTGTCTTTTGCTGTGTCTGCCATTGTGCTGATAGAGTTCTGCCGCCGATTATCTCTGGGTGGTGCCACTTAACGATTGGTTCCATTTTGGTTGGTGGCCCACTGCCATAGGGGCTCTCTTCAGGGTCGTTTTCACACATACTTGATAATGCACTTTCGGTGATCATTTCCAAGCAGATTTTGCTGTTTCCAAGCAGATTTTGCTGTTTTGCCGTGAAATTCAGTTGCAGCCAATGCTCCCTCTAAGCTGTGGAGTCTTGTTAGCAAGAATTCTACTTTGTGAGCTCCAGGCATTAAAGTCATGAGTGAGCTATTTTTGGCTACTGCATAAATTAGTTTGCTCTGGAGCCATCCTTCCTGAGCGAAGACAAAAATGTGTGAGCCGGAGGCTGAAAAGCTGTGAGCTAGCTCACACTAACTCAGTTTAGGGGGAACACTGGTTGCAACATGCATTGAACGTGGATTGGAAGTCCATTGTTCAGTGTGAGTGAAAGCACCCTTGGTGGTGGGTCTGCAGTCTTTGGAACCAACTTCTGCTGTTTTCAGTGGAAGCAAAGACCTTGTGATGCGGAGGCAGGCAAATGGGAAACCGCTTCTGAGCATCTCTTGCGTTGAAAGCCCCGTGGGGGTCACCAGACGGATGAGTGACTTGATGGCAAAAAAATAAATAAAAGACCTTGGTGGTGTTAAGAGAGCAAGAGTCATTTATCCATCCAGGCTGTATTGATTAGCTTACCTGGTATCCATTAGCTGGGGATGAGGGTTTTTTAAAAATCTCTTTGCATCGTTGTTCCGGTGAACTGATTTTACTGCCTCACTGTCATTTGTTCTTTTCTACGTACATTGCTTCGAGAACATCATTTGCTGAAAAGTGAGTCAGAATTTTTTCTCAGTAAATGAAATAAGAAAGATTGCTTCTCAGCACCAGCAGAGGCTCCCTTCTCTTGGCCGGCATGAGCAAAGTCAGAGGATTGACCTTTCAGAGAAGCTGCTCTTTTCAAGAAAAGCAAAGTTTTTTATTTCTTCGGAACTGCTAAAATCATTTGGGTTTCAGAACTTGGCATTTTGTGGTACAGAACTGGCGCAGAGAGCTGGTGAAACTCAATGGCTATGAGGCTGAGCCTTGTACCTTTAGTTCAGATTCGACCACTGCCACAAACTCACTAGATGGCCGACTATGCCGTCTACAGCATGGTGCTAATATCGGCCTACCGTTTTCGTTTGTTGGAAGGAGCACAAGATAATGTATGTGAAATGCTTCGAAAGATCATCCAAGTGCTTGTATAAATGCTGAGAAATTAGCATGCTGGGCCCTGGGACTTAAGGCACCTGTGTGCATTCTAGCCATGTGGAGTTCCTGAATTACCAGAGGGTTGCTGCATACTGTAAATAGTTTATTTGAGTGAACACTTTTAAATTTTGAGTTCATATTGGGGGGAGGGGTGCGTTTTGATACCAACTCTGTGTCCTGCCCCTTCCACAGAGCTTCAGCAATCATCTGAGGATGCCCGGAGCAAATTCCAAGTGGAGAAGCAAAGCCGTAGGCAGCTGGATGCCAAGCTGGCAGCCCTGGAAGAAGAGCTTTCTGACCTTCGTGTGGAAAAGGAGAATCTGGAGAAGGTAGGGAGCGGGGGAAGGTGCCGAATCTGAGTGTTGTTGTTCAGTTGCACAGTTGAGTCCGACTCTTTGCGCCCCCATGGACCACATCACGCCAGGCCCTCCTTCCGTCATGCTCTGGAGTTTGCTTAATTTCGTGTTCATTGCATCGATAACACTGCCTAACCATCTCATCCTTTGCTGTCCCCTTCTTCTCTGACCTTCAGTCTTTCCCAGCATCAGGGTCTTCTCCAGTGAGTGCTCCTTTCTCATTTGGTGGCCAAAGTATGTGAGCTTAAGCTTCATTATCTGGCCTTCCAGGGAGCAGTCAGGGTTGATTTCTTTTAGGATTGACTGATTTGATCTCCTTGCAGTCCAGGGGACTCTCAAGAGTCTCCTCCAGCACCATAATCCAAAAGCATCTATTCTTCGGCGCTCAGCCTTCCTTATAGTCCAACTCTCGCAGCCATACAGTACTACTGGGAATACCATTGCTTTGACCATATGGACTTTTGTTGGCAGGGTGATGTCTCTGCTTTTTATTATGCTGTCAAGGTTTGCCATCGCTTTCCTCCCCAGGAGCAGACGTCTTTTAATTTCATGGCTGCCGTCACCATCTGCAGTGATCTTGGATCCCAGGAATCTGAGTAGCGATTGCTTATTTATTTACCTTTCCATATGCGCCGTGCTGTCCAGCCTTCAAGGAATACTGTGAACAGGCAGCAGAAAACATCACTGTTTTTATGAGCCTGGAGTGCTCTGATGTTGGGTCCCGTGGCCTGAGGGAAAGGGCTTTGAGGCCTGGTCCATGTATGTTCAGAATTAAGTGGTAGAGTGAACTTACACTACTTGATTGATTTTAGAAAATGTGTGATTTTCTTTTCAGCTATTTTACATTGCAAGGAAAAGAGCAATGCAAATAGCACCATAAAATGGTAGCATTTATAACATGAAATAAACATGTTTACAGAAGCGATGACCAACTTCTTTGGCTGTGGCCCCAAACATCAGAGCGCTAGTAAGACATTCTACTTTTGAATGCTCCCCTTTATTTAAAAATTAAATACCTTCTTGCAGGTGGAAAACTAGCACAACAAGGGGAGGGTTGGTTAAACCCATTCTCTCTGATGTGCTAATTTTTGGTTGGCAGGGTTTTTTAATGTGGTGGGACATTCAAAAGGGATGTTCCCCACATGCAGTCTACAGTACTGGTCTAACTCCTTGGTCTGCTGCGTGAAAGTTCCTTTTAAAAGTCAAGACCATTGGTCTGTCTAGTTCAGTATTATGTTCTGACTGGCAGCATTCTGCTTGGGTTGTTAGGCTAAGAAAGACCTTGCCCAGCATCGGCTAGCTGAGATAAGGGGAGGTGCTAGGGATGAAACCTGGAACCCTCTTTATACAAAGCAGATGGCATATCATTGAGTTATGAGCCCTCCATGTGTAAATGTAGTCTTGCTGTCCAACCTGTGATTTGGGCTCCCTTCCCCAATTTCAGAACCTGGCTGAGAGGAAGAAGAAATCCCTCTCGGAGAGAGCACAGGCTGAAGAAGAAATGGATGAGATTCGTAGATCCTACCAGGAGGAGCTGGACAAACTCCGGCAGCTGCTGAAAAAGGCTCGGACATCGACTGACCAAGCAGCTTCTGAGCAGGTGAGAGGAGGTGGACAATAGAGAATCGCCTCCTTGACTTTTTCCACAGAAGTGGGGGGGGGGGGGGGGGGGGCCCCGGGGGGGGGGGGGGAGTCGTCACCAACCTGGTGGCAGCAGACCAGTTGGTCTTTCGTCCTCTTTGCAACATTTCTGCTTTGGAAGTCTGGATCCCACAGCATGGGGACCATTATTCTTCCCACCTCAGCCAGTGTTTTTATTTTAATATTGGGCTCAGGTGATGCCCCAAACCTTAAATTGTTTAGGATTACAGCTTTCCAAGAGCAGTGTCTAAAGCCAGTGAGCAGCAGTGGTGAAAAGATGCAGGAAAACTGTTGTATGAAGGAGTAACAGGGGTGTCCTTTGGGGTGGGGTGGGGCTGGCAGCTTTCTCTTATGCAGGCGGAGCTGGAATCCCAGTGGGAAGCCAAATGTGAGCGTATGCTGAGCACTGCCAAAGAGCAACATGCCCGCCAGTACCAGGAAGTGTGTGAGCAGAGAGATGCCCAGCAGCAGAAAGTGTCCCAGCTGGAAGAGAAAGTAGGTGGCCCGTTTTGTGTGCCTGTATGCTCGCATGCATGTGCATACCTTCCTTCTCCACAGCTCAGTGACGGTATGTCACAATTCCTGCATAAGCGACGTTCAAGACCATCAGTCTCCCTGAGCTTCTTTGACATGCACTTCATCCCTTCCTTTGCCACCCAGCTTCTTTCCATAGGTCCTCACTCCACCAGTGCCCAGATCCCACCTTCCACATTTACCTGCTGATGCAAGCGTACACAAACATATGTCCTTCGTTGACTGAAGAAGTGTGCACATGTAGAGTCTGTAGCTTGTATTCCCCGAGTACAAGTGAGCAGAGGTCCAATCGGTTTCAAGTTCCTTCTGAACTCTATTTTGAAGGGAAAGGTCACATCATGGACAGTGTTTGTAGAAGTGTGACTCCCGTATTGTGTTTGGGGAAACACTTGCTGAATTCAAAGTTCCTAACTTTTTAAAAGGGGCATAAACTTGCAAATGAGAGTATACTCAGCTGCTGGTGGCTTACATGTCAAACTTGCTTTACTTCCAGTTATTGCAGCTGAAAACCACAAGGAGTTCAGAGGATGAGAAGCTCTCTGCGTTGCAGGAGCAGTTGGAACAGCTTGAGCCTGTGAAAAGCAAGGTGAGGAGAACCCATTCCATGCCAAGCCTCTTGGCTACTTTTTCTGCCTCACATTCACTGGGGACAGCACTGGGTGCATGTGACGGGCCTCTTCTGGGTGCCGGGGGTGGGTTCCACCGGTAGCCGTGGCGTCGGGCTGGGTTGTGCTGGCAGCCGGGGTGGAGTCACAAAAGGGAGCCACGATAGGACCTCAGCAGGGAACAGGGTTAGCAGCACCCCTCAGGTTCCTCTGCCCCGTAAGCTGGAGATCACTCGCCCCTCGCGCTCTCTCTCTAGCCATCGTGCATAGTGTCTCCTTCTCACGTTCTTCCTCCCTGGTCCTCTCCCAGAGCCCCTCTTTTTATTCCCCATGCTCTCCTGCTAGCGCCACCCATCTTCCCCGCCTCCCTCCTCCCCGCCTCCCTCCTCCCCCATCCGGCCCCGCCCTCGTTCATAGGCCAGGACGCTCCTCGGGTGTCCGGGGTGTGGGCAGCGGTGGGGCAGCGGTGGTCTTCTTAACCCGGGGCCGCGTCGTCAGCGCTACTGGGTGCTGCGGCCGGCTTCTGTCATCGCCCCGTGGGGCCTGCTGTGCGTCTCCCAAGGGAGGGGTTCCATGGGATTCGCTGTGCGGGTCTTGCTCTGCCAGCGATGCACACCTTGTCTGGGTTTTCAGGAGTCTCCCCATCGTGCCGCATACTCTGTGGGGGTTGTGCCACCGTTCCTCCCCAGCTCGTCCGCCGCTCTTGGGGTGAGTTGGGGTGTGGATACGCCTCTGGGGGTGTGGAGGACCATCCCGGGGCCGGTGGACCGGGACAGTGCATCTGCAGTTCAATGGGGCTTCCAAAGAACATGACAAAGTTATCCCCTGTGTACAAAGCTATGGCCCTGGGATGGGAATAGTGAGATGAAAAACACTCTGCCAGACCATCCTGTTTCTGTCACTTTCCTGGCACCAGCCTAAATGGAAACTATCATCTAAAAATCGTCCTGTCCCATCTTGCCTCTAAGGGGCTCAGGGCCACCTATGTGGAATTATCGAACTTTAGCTTCACAACAACCCTGTGAGGCAAGCAAGGGTAAAAAAATTAAAAAGATAGAAAGTCCCTTGCACAAAACTTCAGGCCGAGCAAACATTTGAACCCAGGGCTCTCCAGCTCAAACCCAGCACTCTAACCCCACTACTTCACACCGGTGTTCTTGTATAACCTAATTCCTTATCTCTCTCTTCCCCACCCCCCAGTACTTAGCCTTACAGTCCCAGGTAGCTGCTCTCAAGGCCCACTATGAGGAACAGATCCAGGAATTTGAAAAGCATCATGGAAGGTCTTCACCTGTAGACTCCACTGAAGAGGTGTGTTTTCCCCCCCTTTACTTGTGTGTGCAGTGGGAGGTGCTGGCTTTGGAGAACTGTGGAGGACCTCATTAACTGGAAGTACACAGGAATTTCTCTCCTGGATTGCTGGCAGTTGTAACTCCTCCCAGGGAGAGTATTGCAGCATTACCATAAGTTCAGAAAATGCTGGTACAAGTGGCTGTAATAACACTGCTGTGCTCTCTCGGATTCAGAGAAAGAAACCTTGCAACATTATCCCAATCATATTCTTGCCACAATAGGCACAGCTGTGGGACTACTTGCTCTAGCCAGAAAAAGTGCTGCAGCGCTGTTGCAGCTGCATCTCTTTCCTGCCCTTGATCATTTGTAGTGCAGCCCCAAAGTATGTCCTTCTGGCATACTTTGCTGTTCTGAACTCAAAAGCACAATCTCGATGGCCCCATCGTATGTCTCAGTGGGGCAGCTTTTATCACAGACTTGCTGCTTCTGCCCCACCCTGCATGTACCAAAGGTGATCATGAATGTAAGATGACCCAATAAAAACAGTACTACAAAGTTTTTACTAATTGTACATACTTGGAACTTGTATACAAATGTAGAACTTCTTTTTCTTGATGGAGCACCTAGAAATACTTGTATACATACTTGGAACTTGTAGGACTTCTTTTTCTTGATGGAGCACCTAGAAAAAAATGAAATTTTCGTTTTGATTAAATACGTTACTTCATGGCCTCTTGGTATGGAGAGAACCTTCTTCTCAGGCTTTTGATTTCCTGGCATGTCTTTCTCCAGGTAAAGAAGATCATGAACCGGGTGTTTCAGTCTCTGCGGGGCCAGTTTGAGCTAGAGGAGTCCTATATCGGCAGAGAAGTTCTAGGCATTGTAATGAACACCATCAAGGTAGGGCTGATAAAGAATTTGGCTGCTATTGGTATGGAATTTTATGTAACATGGGAATTGAGTATACTCCTGCTGTCATAAATTATATACATTTGTTTAGTTGTATCACATAAATCTGGTGTTGCTGGTCGCAAGAGGGGCAAGAACATGGAAGCACTGTTTATTCCCGACTCAACTTTTTGGCTTCTGAGATTTTTGCAAACATAGCCCACACATTTTGAAAGCATATATTTGCAGCCACAGAGGCTAGGAACTTGCTTTTTAGGGGTTTTTTTAACATTAAAGCTGAGACAATTTGGATGCTGCATTCTGCATGCAGTTCAGAGTTCTCTACTTTCTCTGTGCTGTCATGTAATCATAGCATATGGGAACAGACTGGGGGAAGAAATGGCCCTGGAAATGGTCCTTGCTCCTCAAAAGGAGGGAGGGAGGGCCTGCCTGGCCAGCTCTGAGCAGGAGGTACCTGACTAAGGTGGGCAGCTGGAAGGGCTCATTCTTTGCTGGGTAAGTAATTAACACTTGGAACACACTGCAACAGAGAGTGGTAGCAAGTACAAGCACAGACAACTTAAAGAGGGGATTGGATAAACATATGGAGGAGAGATCCATCAGTGACTATAACATATAGAGCAGAGGTCCATCAGTGGCTATTAGCCACAACGTATATATGGACTGCTGTATCTGGGATAGTGATGCTCTGTATTCTGGATGCTTGGGGGGGGGGGCAAGAGTGGGAAGGCTTCAGGAGTTCTGGCCCACTGGTGGACCTCCTGATAGCACCTGGGTTTTGGCCACTGTGTGGCACAAAGTGTCGGACTGGATGGGCCATTGACCTGATCCAGCATTGGCGTCTCTTATGTTCTTATGAGGCTGGGCAGGATGGTCCTGTCCCATTCAGTCCCTCGCTACGGCAAGGCCAGGTGAGATAAGGGTGGGCCTGAGGGTGGACCCCTTGCTGCACTGAGCCCACCTTCCCTGCGCCTCTGGCTAGTACCCATCACTCTTTTCAGGCTGGGTCGCCCTGGCCTGAGGTGGTCTTCTGAAGCCATCAGCCCACCTGGACTCTTCCTTGTGGCTTTAATGGCCAACCTACACTGTAGCTTCTTCTTCTTTTTAAAGTTTTATTTAAGTTTTCCAACAAAAAATAAAGTATACAACTTTTACATTTGTAGTTTTAACATCCTGGCGAGTCTATTACAGAGTTTGGTTCTTTACCCATTTATAGAAATCTGCCCATCTTTCTTTAAACACCTTATCTTCTTTCCTTTGCAAAATTATTGTTAATTTGTCCATTTCTGCGACCTCCATAAGTTTTTCTACTAATTCCTTTCTTTTAGGAATCTTTTCTTGTTTCCAATTCTTAGCAATCAGAATTCTGGCAGCTGTGAGCATATATGTTAACATATAAACATTTTTCCCTTTAAATTCATTTGGGATTATATTTAATAGGTATGTCTCCGGACAAAGCTTTAAATTTATGTGCAGCACTTCTGCAATTAGATTGTTTACCTTTTCCCAAAATCTATATACTTTTTCGCAGTTCCACCACATGTGCATGAATGTCCCTACGTTAGTCTTGCACCTCCAACAGTTTTTATTCGTTGATTTATAGGCTTTTGCTAACTTTTCTGGAGTCCAATACCATCTATGAAATAACTTGAATATATTTTCCTTAAATGCTACTGCCCTCATTAGTTTCATTGATTTCCAGACCTTTTGCCAATCTTCCAAATGGATAGTCTTTCCCAGGTCTTTCATCCAAAGGATCATGGTATTTTTTATATTTTCATCTTCTACGTAGTCATTTAAGAGGAAGTTATAAATTTTTTGAATGAGTTTATCATTAGAGGATAGCCATATTTTATCCAAATCCGTTTGGGTGTCTAGAAATTCGGTACTTTTATCCTTGTTGTACCTGTCTTGTACTTGCATCTTTTCCCACCATGTTAGGTGGATATTTCTTTCTGTTAGATTTTCTAACGGTTTTAATTTGTTGTTTTCACCCAGTAATGCATCATAAGATATAGCCTTTTCTTTCATCATTAATTTGGTGTTTATAAATGCCTCAAGAGGAGACACCCATCTTGGAATTTTTGTGTAGTGTCTGTGTTTTATTTCTTCCCACACTTTGATTAGTGCCGCTCTAATGATATGATTGTGGAAGTTAGAGTGGATTTTGTCTTTTTCGTACCAAAGGTACGCGTGCCACCCCATATAAAGATCGTGGCCTTCCAGATAAAGCGTTCTCCAGTTTGTCAACTGTACCCAGTCTTTAATCCATGCCATTGCTGCAGCTTGGAAGTAAAGATGCCAATTTGGTAGCCCCAGTCCAATAGCACCTGGGTTTTGGCCACTGTGTGGCACAAAGTGTCAGACTGGATGGGCCATTGGCCTGATCCAACATTGGCTTCTCTTATGTTCTTATGAGGCTGGGGAGGATGGTCCTGTCCCACTCAGTCCCTCGCTACGGCAAGGTCAGGTGAGATAAGGGTGGGCCCCTTGCTGCACTGAGCCCACCTTCCCTGCGCCTCTGGCTAGCACCCACCACTCTTTTCAGGCTGGGGTCGCCCTGGCCAGAAGTGGTCTTCTGAAGCCGTCAGCCCACCAGGACTCTTCCTTGTGGCTTTGATGGCCAACCTACCCTGTAGCATCTTTTAAAGCAGAGCCGAGGTCCTCAATCACCCATCTGTTTCCGTATTGGGTGTTGATTGCCCTGTTATTCTGTGGGTAATTTGCGGCCTCCCCACTTTGCACTGAAATCCAGTACATTACTGTATTTATTTTGATTGACCCTAGAGTATAGAAGAATCCTGCTAAAGGAAGGAAAAGAGAAGACTTTAGATTTGGGGTGGCAGTGAGTGGTGTTGTGCCTTTGTGACAAGCAACACCTCTCCTTCTGTTTCCTTTTAGACAGTAACGCTGCAGCTGCTGGAGAAGCATGAGGAGAGGGGAGAGAGCAGCAGTGAAGAGGATGTGCAGTCCCGTTCTGAGAGGAAAAGGGCAAGCCCTGCGGGCCCAGATAAGGAGCCCAGAAGCTCTTCTCCACACAACCCACCACTCTCCGTGCCTACAGTTCCCCCTGACCCTCCAGAGAAGGCATTGGCTCAACTTCCTCCTGCCTCTCTTGAAGGAGGCCAGGGCAGCCTGGCTGTTGCAGTGGACGAGGCACAGGCCTTGGAATCACAGAGAGAACAGATGCCCTCAGCCTTTAATCAGACCACAGAGTCTAATACAAAGCGGGAAGTCCCAGAGCTGGCCATTGAGGAGGACGGACACTCGAGTTGCTCTGAACAGAATGAAACCCACACAGTACATTCAGCACTCACTGCAGCAGGAACGCCAGACCCTTCCAAGCCAGCAGCAGACGAGGCAGAGCACAAGGCAGAAGAACCCACCCTGGCCCTGAATAGAGGAGGGGAGAGTTGCCTGGATGTTCCACACCAGGATTCTGAAACTGCCACTGCAGCCGAAAAGTGCGGCTCAGCAGAAACGCAGCAAAGAGCAGCACCCAGACCTCCTCAAGTAGATTCTGGGTCAGTCTCAGGAAGTGTATGTGTGTGCTTATGCCTGCCTTGAGTTACCTCTGTTTCACCTCCTCCCTGTTTGCTGGCAATGCAGACGTGCTGCAGGACAGAGTTGGGCTGTCTTCAGTCTTAACTGATCTGGGTTTTCCCCTCCCTTCTTTAAATCCCCGCAGTCTACCAAACTTTTAAAAATTGGAATACACACAGAACACATGAAGCTGCCTTATACGGCATCAGACCCTTGGTCCATCAAAGTCACTAATGTCTACTCAGAACAGGAGCAGCTGCTCAGGGTTTCAGGCAGAGGTCATCACTTACCACCTGATCTTTAACTGGAGATGCCAGGGATTGAGCTGGGAATCTTCTGCATGTTAAGCAGATGCTTTGTCACTGAGCCATGGCCCCTTCCCTTAGCAAGCAGGAGTGAATACTCAGGATCTTTTCATGGCAAGGTAAAGGTAAAGGTTCCCTTGCTCAAAAGCCAATCGAGTCCGACTCTAGGGTTGCGGTGCTCATCTCCGTTTCAAAGCCGAAGAGCCAGCGCTGTCCAAAGACATTTCTGTGGTCACGTGGCCGGCATGACTAAACACCAAGGAGCACGGAATGCTGTTACCTTCCCACTGAAGTGGTACCTATTTATCTACTTGCAATTTCTTGCTTTCGAACTGCTAGGTTGGCAGGCGCTGGGGCCAGAGACGGGAGCTCACTCCGTCATGTGGCACACTCGGGTCTCGAACTGCTGAACTACCGACCTTCCACAGCCTGCAGTTCAGCGTCTTAACCACTTGAGCCACCGCAGCTCCACTTTCATGGCAAAGGGCTATCTAATCTGTGTTGTGTAAACCTGGATTTGTGCTTTTGCTTTGGCAGGGTCATGCTGAGTTAGGCCCAAAGTCCACCTAGTTCAGCAGTCTCTGCAAGAATCCCAGCTTACCAGGCAGGCACTGGTGGGCGACTCCCTGCTTTTCTACCCATCCTTGCTTTAGGTTACAGCCCATGTGCCTTTCAGCAGCAATGCCAGCTGAGCTGTGGACCCCTTCCTGTTGCTGCTTCCTTGCTGAGCCCTCTTAAGACAGCAAGTAAATGACTCCAGAAGCTGTATGGTTTGGCCTGCATGGTGCTCTGAACTTTCTGCTTTTGGTTTGGCTCCCATGCACAATTTAAAACCAACTGCCTTTTTGCCATCTCTTACAAATCGGGTATACAAGCCAGGACAGAAATGCTAAGAGGTGGGGAGCAGGGGATCCCCTGATTTTGCAGGCTCCTGACTGCTGCTGGCCAGCAGGGGGAAGCCCCACCCCAAACTGCCATGACCTGGCGCAACATCCCCAGCATGATGACATCGCACAGAAGTGACATCACATTAAGGGCGTCGCCTCCACTCCCGGAAGGCTCCTTCCCATCCCCTGCCTGTGAAAGCGCAGGACCTGGCAAGTTGGGGGCGTCGCCCCCACTCCCGGAAGGCTCCTTCCCATTCCCTGCCTGTGAAAGCGCAGGACCTGGCAAACCTATTGGGGAGTGAGTGGGATTGTAATAATTATTATCATTATTGTGTGGCAATGTGTATGGTATAACCGGGAGATCCTAAGGTTGTCTGGCAGCCAGAAATGCTAGCTCTTTTAGCATTATGCCCCACTAGGTGGCGAACCAGACTTGTTTGTAAGGTAAGAGACATTTCAGAGGTGGTTTCCCATTGCCTGCCTCTGCGTCATGACCCTGGTATTCCTTGGAGGTCGCCCATCCAAATACTAGCCAGGGCCAACCCTTCTTAGCTTCCAAGATCTAACGGGATCAGGCTAGTCTGGGCTATCCAGTCAGGACCGTTGGATTGTGGCTCTGTTGTACACGGAAGCTTTTACATACTGCAACTATCCGTACTTCCCCTTTCTGAGGTCAGATAATCCCCCTTTACCCACTTTCTTGCTTTTCTCAGCCTCCATGAAGACCAGAGCAGTATGTCTAAAGCTGTAACTCGAAAGCCTCACATATCAGGAGGGCCACTGGAAGAGGATGAGGATGAAGAATTGGTAAGGCTCATTCGTAGAGGATTCTGGGCTCGGTGCTTTCCAGTGGGCTGTGGAGATGAATCCACTGGCATTTAGATCGGGAGATCCATGCTTAACGTTTTGAGGCGTTTCTTTGGGTTTCCTCTGTGTATTCAGAAGAGTGGGCATTAGGTGCAGACCGGTTGCCCGTCTTTTTGCTGTTGTCGTGGTGTGGGTTGTTTAAAGACTTCCAGCTCTTGTAATTGGGAAATGAACTTGGGTAACGTCTGGCGAAATCCTTTCGGGGTCTGAGCGTGACTGATGGCGGTCAGAGGAGGAGAGGCTTCTCTTCCTTGCCTTGTCTGTGGGTAGCCAAACAAGTTGGGAACTCGAGGAGTGGGAGGAGATAGACAGTTTGGAGACTTTCCACCAATGCTAATCTCCCCCATCAGGCTGCTGTAAGCTTGTAGGGGTTTGAGCAGGCCAGTACTGTAATCCTTCTCCCCGCCCCTCCATTGACACACAAACTTCCATGCCTCCTGATGGCTATTGAACATAGTTCTCATCAGGCTGGTTGGGGGGGGAGGATTACTGCTTTTTTCAGTATATGTATATATGCTCACACACCAGTAGTTGTCTCCGTACCTAGGAAATCTCCCCAGTGTGCACCCCTTTAACTCTGGGCGGCCCCATTTTGTTGTCCTGCTTGTAGGCACTTCAGCTAATTTATCGGGAGGTCCAACTGGGGCCCATGAGGACACTCTCCCTGACCCAAATACTCCTTCAGGGGTTGAGCAGGCTAGCCTCTCCCCTCTTCTTTTTTTCTTCCTTTAACTCTCAACTTTCCAAGGGTAATGAGCATGCTCAGCCCGCATCCAGCTGATCTTACAAGATTTCCTTTTTAATTACGTGTTCTACCTGTCTGAGGAATGTGTAGAAACTGGCTGTAGATGGCTTGGGCTTGTTGCATTCATGACTGATGCAAGCCACCTATTTTCGCTATTAGATATCGTGGTGGTCATAGAATCATAGAATGATAGAATGTTAGAGTTGGAAGGGACCTTGCAGGTCATCTAGTCCAACCCCCTGCACTCTGCAGGAGCATAGCTGAAAGATAGCCCTACAACATACCTGAAAGATGGTCATCCAGCCTCCGCTTGAAAATGTCCAGCGAAGGAGCATCCACCCCCTCCTGAGGCAGACTGTTCCACTGCTCAACCACTCTGACAGTTAGGAAGTTTCTCCTTATATTTAGCCGGTAACGACTCCCTTGTAATTTCCACCCATTAGATCTAGTCTTGCAATCCGGAACAAGAGAGAATAGATCCGCTCCATCTTCTACATGACAGCCCTTCAAATACTTGAAGACTGCAATCATGTCCCCTCTAATCCTTCTCTTTCCCAGGCTAAACATACCCAACTCTTTCAGCCTTTCCCCATAAGACTTGGATTCCAACCCTCTTACCATCCTGGTTGCCCTCTTCTGGACACACTCGAGCTTGTCAACATCCTTCCTAAAATGTGGTGCCCAAAACTGGACACAGTACTCCAGGTGGGGCCTGACCGTAGGAGAATAGAGTGGAACTACCACCTCCCGTGATCTGGTCACAATGCTTCTGTTAATGCATCCTAAGATTGCATTAGCTTTCTTTGCAGTCACATCACACTGCAGGCTCATGTTTAGCCTGTGATCAACCAGAACACCTAGATCCCTTTCACATGTGGTGGACTGGTGGTGGTGATATACGACAGCTTAACGTCCCAGGATGTAACCTTTCTTAGCAAAAGATGTACACATCCTTGTCCGTAACTCTCTCCTTCTGTGCTCAGCAGTATTAACCTAACTGTTATCTCTTGGGGGCTTTCAGAGCATGAAGGGCCGGCCTCCTCCAACCCCCCTCTTTGGGGAGGAGGAGGATGATGATGATGACCTGGATTGGCTTGGGTGAACAACTGGACGAACAACATGGCGAGACTTTGTGCAGGTGCAAAATGATTGAGCAGCCGTGGCCTGAAATGGATGGGACTGTTGTAGTGGAGTTCCCTGGATTGCTTATTTGGGGCAGGGCAGCCTCTGCAAGTTGCTGACCTTTACCTCTATGGTGTGGGATTGAAAACCCTGTCTGTGTGCCCCGACTCCTGTGAGCCTGGACTGATTCAAGAAGCCAGCCTCTCTCGCTCTCTCCTGCATGCACACATCGGTCCTGCTAATCCTACTTATGCAAATAAGGAGATGGAGGAGGGGCTGGGAGTGTGGCCTCCCCGCTGCAGGATTCCCTCTCCACTTGAACGTCAATACAAAGACTCAGAAGTGTTCAGCTTTTCCCCTCCAGCTCCCTGGACCTTGGATGCTTTTTGCAAACATTCTGTAATTCCAAACCCATGCCTCTGCATACTTTGGCTGCAGGCAGGTGTAGGTTGGCTAGGATCATGGGCCAGTTCCCTGTGATGCCTTGCTTGCACATCGAGGGGGTGGCAGGGGGTAATTTAGTTAGCATTTTGATCTGCTTTCTGTCTGGTGCTGCAGGAGGGTCCAGCCCTTTGGCACTGGCAGTTCCTTAAGTGCCCACTCCATGCTGGGAATCTAAATTGCTAGAGGCCTCTGAAAGGTAAGAGACAGCATGCATGGGTGATCCCTGCTATTATTTTCCTGGATGAGAGGTAGTGAGTGCTGTTCTCTTGGCCTCAGGCATATTTCTGCTGACCTTTAATCCTCTTCAGATAGCCTGTCCCAGTAACCTGAGTATGTTTGTGTGTGTGTTGGGGGGGAAAGAGCATCTGTGGTTTACCAGCAAACCTGGTGAAATGTTAAACTAGTCCTGGCTAGCCTTTCGCCTTCAAGTTGTTATGCACAGCACAAGTCATTTTGACCTCCAGTGTAAAACAGCCTGTTCTAAGAAGAGATTTCAGGGCCTTCCTTGCCTCTCTGAGGGCCCCCCCCCCCCCATATGAACCTTCCTGATACACGTGTCTAGGGCAGATGATTGAATTTTCACCTGGCATATGGGACCAGCTGTTTACCTTGTCCTTGCAGCACAGAGCAGTATTCAGAATGAACTGCTACACATGTACCTTTTCGGAGTATGTTGGATATTACAGTCCAGTCCAGGCAGTCCAACAAGAGTTTGGGATGTTCACCCTGCAAGCTTGTTTCAGAAACTCACGATGACGCAAAGTGGATTTCCGCCAGTTCCAATTGTCCAGTCATATGATCATGCACATAACTCACCTGTGGCCACATAGAACTATTTTGGAAGCTGCATCAACAGGATAACCATGACTTATGCATTGGACTCTGGTACATAATGGTGTTTTGTTTTTGCTGTTCTTGGATGAGGGGAGTCAGCATCCTTTATTCAAGGGGTGAATGGATATTTTAAATTTGTTATTCAACCTGGCATACTAACTCTGATATTTTATTCCAAGAGTGGTTGCTGCTTTTCTCCCCCCCCCCCCCACCAATAATACTTGGCTTTACTTGATGGGGGGGGGGAACCCACTCTGCATTGGGAAACAGAGCACTTTCAAGGAAATGAAAGTTTTTGAATTTGTGTGGCTTAAAACAAGCCAGGTCCCATGTTATCTCAACACTTGTCATGGTCGCAGATGCTCTGTGTTGCCCTCTTGGCCTCATGGGTAAGCACGGTATTGAGGAACCTGGAAGTGAAACTTACCAGTGCCCAGGGCCCTTGTCTTGTTTAGACCTAGACAGAATCAAAATGTGATCTCACTTATACAATAAAAGTGCAATTTAAACTATCTTCTGCATCATCTGGTCTTTTTAAAAGCAGGGTTCGTTAGTTGGTTTCATCTTGGCATTTATATATTGCTCAAGACCCGAGTGTGCCGCATGACAGAGTGAGCTCCCATCTCTGGTTCCAGCTGCTGCCAACCTAGCAGTTCGAAAGCAAGAAATTGCAAGTAGATAAATAGGTACCTCTTCGGTGGGAAGGTCACAGCGTTCCGTGCGCCTTGGCATTTAGTCACGCCGGCCACATGACCATGGAAACGTCTTTGGACAGCGCTGGCTCTTCGGCTTGGAAACAGAGATGAGCACCGCAACCCTAGAGTCGGATTCGACTGGCTTTCGAGCAAGGGAAACCTTTACCTTTACCATATGAGCTTTAATGTGCTTCAGCAATCCTCATAAGAGCCCTGTGTGGTAAGTCAGTGTTATCCCCATATTGCAAATGTAGCCTGACTGTGAATTTGAGACTGAGACTCAGGGTTTCCCTTTTTGCTGCTTACAGTCATGGCCCTTATGCTTTTACTTGTTCACTTGTAACCCTCCCCTGGTTCATTTGCTAAACCAAAGTTAATTACTTGTTCATTCATTTCCTGATCTCTGAACAGGTTTATATTCTAAACAAGTACAATAATCAAAGCTTGGCTGGAACCAGTATTCAGCCCCAGAACTATCGAACGTGGAATGTTAGAGTGCTTCTGAGTTATGTACAAAATGGGTGCCTTTCCCCACTAAGTAACCATGCCCTTTGCCCCATGCAGATTAGTACGGAGGTATTGCTGTTGCACAGGCAGTAGTAATTTATGGGACTGCAGGCGAGGGTCCAGTAGGGGCCTTCATCATAGCCTAGAATCAGTGAAGTTGCCAGGCCTGTAGCTATGGTGGGGCTTTGGGGGGCTCTACCCCCTTTCTTAAAGGCACAGCCCCACAAGAATTTCTCCTGTAAATGCTTTTTTCAATCATTTAAAAAATGTTTCTTAAATGGCGTGAGCTCCTTTAAGCAGAGTGGGGTGCTGTAGGTGACTAAGTCCCACACTGAGCAAGGGGGTTGGAGTGGGTGACCTCTAGGATCCCTTCTAATTCTGTGTCAAGAAACTAGTCTCCTTTACGAGAGTTTTTCTGCTTAAGTTTTAGCTTTCTTGACTATAGAAGTCATCACCCCCACCTGCTGGCTTGTTATCAGAATTGTTGCTTAGGCTGGCAGAAGTGATTAGCTTTCAGCAGCTAAGAGCTGTCATCTAAAGTGGTTGACAGTTTGCAGTTTAGAGAGCTATCTTGGTAACAGCTTTCTGTTAGCTAAATGGCTTTTCTTTCTGCACTGAGAACTTCAGCCCCACCAGAAAAAAATTTGCCCCACACGCCACGAAATCCTGGATGTGGGCCTGGAAGTTGCTCTCTTTGGCCTTGATTCACTGAAAAGGCTGGCCACTTTAAGGAAGCCATTGCTGGCTCCCCTGCTTGAGCTATTGAACCAAAGCAAGTTCTTACTGTGAATCAAAGTTAATGTACCTGGGACAGCACCCTTCTTAATTGCTTAAGTAGCTGGCATTTTTTACTGTCTTGGGCAGAATCATGGCAGTGAGCCTCAAAGAGCTGCCTTATAATTACCACTCCTTTCCTCATGGCTGCACTTGTTCATCCAAGTTCCCTTTGATCCCAGACATTTGTCCTCTGCTCAGCAGTTTGTTTTTCCCCTGGAAGGAAGGATGACTGACCAGAGGTCATTTCGGGGAGGATCGTGGGGGATCGCAGTTCCCCTGGGTGAGGTACGGGGGTGCGGAGCACATGACGAAGCCCCGCCCCCTGCTTCCGGCCGCCCCGCTTCCGGCCCTCATTCAGCCAGGAGGAGGCAGGAGAAGAGGGAGGGTAAGTTGCTTTCTCCCTGCCTCTCCCCACCCCTGCCTGCCTGGGGCCAGGGAGGGCCTTCGCGGGGCTTCCTTGCACTCCCGCCGGCCTTGCAGGTCCACCGCCAGGCGGATCGGCAGTGGAGGTGCAAGGCGGGGGGCGGGGGTTGTGGCCTTATGACACACTTCCGGTGATGTCAGGGGGTGTGGCATATGCTAATGAGTTATGCTAATGAGTTCCCCTAGCTCTTTTTCTACGAAACGACTCCTGTGACTGACCAACATCTTAACTGGGTGTGACTGTATCTGCTTGACAGTTGTGTGCCAAATAGAGCACTTTCTCTATATGTGTTTCTTCTAAACTGGCAGCTTGGGGTGAGATGGGGAGGCTGCATCTGTGTGTATTTGGAGAGCCCGCATGGTGTAGTGCAGGGGTGTCAAACATAAGCCCGGGGGCCAGATCTGGCCTTTCCAGGGCTCTTATGCCGCCCGCAAGCAACAAGTGCATGGGTGGGAACAGGAAATGGCTCGGGGAAGTGGGCAGAGCCGCTCCAGTTGTGGCTTCAGCATGGGAGAACAGCCATGTCTGCAGCAGTCAAGCAGCATGGGAGCATTTACCCAGTACTGCACCGCTGACTGTCCAGTCCGTCCATATGGGTTTTCCTTTGCACTCCCCTTCTAGCCCATGGGGCTCTGCAGTGAGGATACACTAACTCAGAGCTTACCAGCTGTTGTCCTTTGTAGGGTTTATATCTCCGTTATCTGGCATTACATTTTATGGCACACGCAGCCTGGCCCAACGAAGTGACGTTTATGTTGGATCCGGCCCTTGTAACAAATGAGTTCGACACCTTTGGTGCAGTACTCTCTCTAAGCTGAGTAAGTGTGAGCTAGCTCACCGTTTTTTAGCCTCCAACTCACGCGTTTTTGTCTTAGCTCAGGAAGGAGGGCTCCAGAGCAAACTAATTTATGCAGTAGACGAATCACTTGCTCACAATTTTAATGCCAGTAGCTCACAAAGTAGAATTTTTGCTAACAAGAATCCACAGCTTAGAGGGAGCATTGCTCTGGTGTAGTGGAATCCCAGCTCTGCTATGGGAACTTGCTGGGTGACCTTGGGCCAGTCACAGACTCTCAGCCTACCCTACCTCATGGGGTTGCCATGAAGGTAAACGCGGTGAGGAGAATGATGTGAGCTGCTTTGGATCCCCACGGGGAAGAAAGGCAGGGGTATAAATGAAGTAACTAAATTTAGTCTAGAAGTCTGACAAGCAGATAGAGAGTAAATGAAAGAAAACCATATCATTTTCCAAATGTCTCTATTTAGTATCTAAAATGATATACATGCTATACAGGGATTTACAAAACAGCATTTTGCATGTAAACGACACAAACAAGCTTCCTGAACCAAATTATTTGTGTTATCCTAGATGCAGATTTTATTTTTCTTCCTTTCTCCTACCCCTCCCCCAGTGAAGACCTTAGACCACTTCAGTCAGTGGATCTTTTTGTGAAACTGGTGGGTTTTGGAGTGAGCCTGGAGCTTGCTTGCCTTGAATTTTCCCATAGGTACAGTTAGTCCAGCTGCTTTAAGGGCAGCAGCAGCTACTATGATTTACTATAATACCCTGTTTCCCCGAAAATAAGACCTACCCCAAAAATAAGCCCTAGCAGGATTTCTATGCATTTGTGGTAATAAGCCCTAGTGTGGCTTCTTGAGAAAAAATAAATATAAGACGGTGTCTTTTCGGGGAAACACGGTATTTGAAAACAAACCACTTGATCCTTCAGGCAGGGCCGGCCTGTCACTGACAAATTTTAGACAGTCGCCTAGGGCGCCGGCTCGACGAGGGCGCCACTCTGGCCGGCCTGCCACCCCGCCTTCCCCTCGCCTCGCGCCCTGAGTCTCCTTCACTGTGGAACGCTGAAGTGTACCTTACACGAGGGAAGCACACACAGACTGCCATCAGCAACCGTGTGCGCCCTCGCACCAGCGTGCTCTCCTCCCGACCCAATGTAACCTGTGAGCGCACTTCCTTAAGCATTGAAGGGGGCTCACCTCCCGATGTCTCGTGTGTGCCTCTCCAGCGTGAGGGGCAGGGTGAGACAGAGGGGAGGGGGGCCCCTGGAGAAGGCTGCGTTCCTGCCGGTGGAGAAGGCAGGAGGGTGCTGTGAGGCTGCTTCCTGTCAGACCCGCTTCTTTCCTCAGAGGTGCCCCCCCCGCCCGACAACAGAACGTGCATGCGCAGGTTGAGAGAACTGGCAAGTGGTCTTCTGCCGCCATGGAGCCCGGGCAGGTGAGTGAGTCAGCTGGGATTGGCTAGGAGCGGGAGCCACCCGCTCTGTCACTAGGCGTGGCGGCAGATCTCAGCAGAGAGTGGCCGCCCTCACTGCCCAACCCAACCTGCGATTTCTTTTGCAGTATTGCACACAGGTCTGGCATTGGGGTGGGGCACAAGGTAGCCTCGCCGGGGGGCGCCACAAGGTAGCCTTGCCTAGTGTGTAAAAAAACCTGGGGCTGGCCCTGCCTTCAGGAGCTTAGTCTTCAGAATTGCTTCATGCCACAGCCAAGGTGGGTGGGTGTTTGTTTGTTTTTTGCCATCAAGTCACAGGCCATTCATGGTGTCCCGGAAAAGTTTGCAAAGCAAGAGACATTTAGAGGTGGTTTGCCTTTGCCTGACTCTGTATAGCAACCCTGAACTTCCTTGGTGGTCTCCCATCCAAATACTGACCAGTTCAACCCTGCTACTGCCCCCACCCCCCAAAAAAGTATCACTGATCTTCCAGTTGTCTCCACCCAACCTGAGTAAGAGTCACTCGCTTTCAAAGCCTTTGCTCTTGCATTGAAATTGGGTCCAACTTAGTTGTTTGACCCAACTACATTTGCACTTTAATTGTACAAGGAATGTTTGCAATTTATATTTTTTTCTTCTTCAAAAGCTGCCTTCGTTGATAGATCAGTGCTACACAATGACCTCTGCCACTTCATTACTATGCGCTATGCAAAACCTAAGTTTAACTACTTGCAAGTCCTCAGAGCTCCTTTGCAAAGGCTCCCATCCCAAAAGCATTTTTTACTAGCAAGTAAGTCCTG